AATTGGGTTGTAGATCCTTTTAAATGTGAAATTAATACCAGAAGAACCTCCAGGTTTGCAGTTTGTACATCAAGATCTGAATTAGATGAAATTAGAAAAAGATGAAAGTTTATAATGTATTTGGTAGACTTCGGTCATTTACCTTGGTAAATAAATATTGCTTCCTCTTTGAAAATCATTTTGCACCCATATAATTTATTTTTATTAGGATGAATGGAAAACATATTTTCAAGGCACGTTTATTACAAAAACAAACAACAGAATTACAAACAAAAAAAGGAACATGAATCATTCCAATTGTAAATAGTGCCGCAGCAAGGAAATATTGCGCCTGGTGCTAAATCAAAAAGGCCAAATATTTCAATTGCACTACTATTACCGACCATCGCTCCACGCTGACCATAGGACTTTCCACCGAACTTTTAATATTATCAGAAACTAAAGAAATGAATAGGTATAATGAAACAAGTAGTTGTGAGTTACTATATTTATTAAATATTAAAAAATATCATATAATTTATTATATAGTTAATATTTGCTTATCATAATAGAACTTTTTTTTTTCTTAAACTTCTGGCGCTTCCTCAGTACTCTAATCTGCTTAACTTTATTGCGTAACATTTTCATTTCGTAACACTACACCTTACACTCTATAAGTAATGAAACAAACGTGATATTAGTTTGAGAGGCGCGCAAAATCAATTCATAACCTCTAGATCAAAAAACGGCAAAACCGAAAATAAAATGTACTTAAATCAAAAATTTGAAAAAAAAAAATAAAACAAATAAAATTGTTATTCTTAAAAATATCACACACTTTAGATATATATAATTTTTGTTTAGTTATTTTTTTGTCATCATCTTTCGTTTAAATTGCACGAAGCTAATACATTGTTTTCTTTACAAAATAGTATTTAATTATAAAAAATAATAATATGAGATATAATAATAATAAAATTGTTGAAGCCAATCTTCCTTAACTATGACACCATATCATTCCAACTCCAGCCATTTCCATTATTCGAGGAGTTGCTGCTCGTTGAGCTTGAAGACACTTCATTGGACACGCAAAAATTGTCTCAATCTAATTGTTGTCTCATTTATATGTTATATTGTTCTTTTATTGTTTTGAAATATATTCAGTTTACTCACCTGAGGGTTTTGAAATGCGATCTTTCGGGCCCCAAACGCGTATCGTACAATCATCCGAGACGGAAACCAGCATATGTGGATATACCGGATTCCAACTGACGCAATTTACTGTTCTTGTATGACCGCTTAACGTGGCCAATGGATGCTCCGATCTTGTATGCCATATATAAACCTAGGAAATGTTGTAAATGTATACTATATTTTCATTCAATTGTTACCGAGTTAATTACTTGATTATCTTCACTTCCACTAGCTATGAAATCTTGATTTGCACCTCCGAAGGTTGAATGAATGGTGAAATGTCCTTGAGTAACACCTTGGAATCTTCTTATCAAGCATTTATCTTTCAAGTCCCAAAGATGAACCCCTTGAGTTGCCACATTCAGCAAGGCTAGTCTATCATTTTTATCTACCGTAAATGACATGATTGGATGTTCTTCTTGCAAACTACAAAATATTTAATTATGTTTTTGTTGCCATAGTGTTATCTTTAGAAATTACATGTGTTGATCAGTTAAATCTTCAAGTACGTAGCTTCTTATTCTATGATGTGTATCTGAAGCTAAGACGGTTTTTCCATCAGATCTACACCATAGACAATTGACACGAACACATTCCCAATTTTCAGATATATTTCCGTCCATATCAGCTTGGTAAAAATGTCCTCGAATGCCGCCAACAACAAATTTCTTCCCGTCCTTGTTCCAAGAACAACAAGTAAGTACATCTTCTTGGGATTGAGATATTTTCAAACATTTTTCAGTTTTGATATTCCAAAGCCACACCTCGGGACTTTCATCCGGACCGCAGGCCAGAAGATGAGTAGAATCTGGGCTCCAAGATAAGTAAGCAGCGCCTACATTAATGAAATATGTGAAATTTGCAGTTACGAGAATAATTATGAATTTTACCATAATTATGACCAACCAATGTATTCCTCAAGTTCAAAGTGCAAGTTTCTGGATTCACATCCCATATGAACACATTACTATCCTTTGACCCGGTTGCCAATTTCTTACCATCCGGAGAAAAAGTACAAAACCAAACTTCGTCGCAGTGATCATTAAGCACTTGTATAGTGTGTGTTGGAAAGTCATCCTTAGGACAACAATGATCGACCAGCAATGATGTGTTGTTCAAACAAATACCATGGGAAGTATTATGATGTTGGCAGCGCATTGTTTGTAGTTCGACAGCTTGATTGAGCAGAACTCTTAATCTACTAGGAGGCAGCATTATGTTGGCAGGCAAATAGGACTGTAATTTGTCCATTAAGGCAGAACGAGATTTTGAACCTTTACCAGCCCTGAAACGATAAAATATTATGTTTCAAAACACTTGTTTATTAGCGAAAGACAAAATTTCGCTATTACCAATTTGTTCTCGCTAGAAGTTCTTGGGTACTGGAGCACATCATATAACTTGAGAGCTGATGCACGCGGGCAGTGTTATGTTGCAAAGGTGTCAATTCATTTCTTAAAACATGCAATGCATCCAGAACTCTACCATCCTCTAAATATTCTAGATACTTTTGTTCTAATAACAAAAATTTCATCTCCTGTGGATCAAATGTTCATTAAATGACATTGAAAATTAATCTAAATTAAAAAAAATAACATAGATAAAGAATTTCTTTCACAAATTATCTGCCACATATTCATAACTCTGTAAATAATTTTATTATACCTAAATTCCTTTAATTGTTTGTTATACTTAAATAGCTTTCTCTTAAATGGAACATTAGGAATACACATATATTAGATGCATATGCATATTATATATATTTTTGGAGATACTTACAACTAAGCTGTGTGATTGTCCAAGTAATGGTCGCAACTCTTGTAAGTCATGATCAGCTTTTGACCAATCCCCATCCAAGATGTGGGTGTGAAACTTGGCTGCTGAGGGATGATCCAATCGGCAACCAGATTCAGCCATAAGAGATTCAGCTGTTTGACTTTAAGTGAAAAATAAAAATAACATAAATAAAACAATGAACTGGGTAGAAGGCATTATCAGTAAGCTCACCTAAGTCCTTCATTTTTCAGAAACTGGCCAATGAGTCTAACAATGTCTTGATGAGATTGTGTTAGCTGCAGTGACGCAGTTCCCCCATCGAGTCCATTTTCTGCCGAATTATTGCTACTGGTAGAGGCGGCGGCGGAGGTGTCAGAGGCGGCGGATGCTCCGTTTTGCACAAGTCCGTTGCTCGTCATCGCGAAATGGTCACTTTTACTGTCTTTACGGGACTTCTTGCGAGGCGGAGATCCACCTTCGCCCCCCTCGTGAACGCCAGCAGAGGCCAGAATTGTTTTTGGAAGACACTTTGTACACCACCCCCAGAGCACGCGATTCGACGTTCAAACTTGCCTAACCCCAGTTCCAACAATCACGGAAACTGCAGGGCGCTAAATGATCGGATTTGTCCCCCAAATGCACAATCTTCAATTTGTCAACAAGAATTAGATGGCTGAGTATAGACCAATTACGTCACCGCCTGGCACTGACGCAGGAAACAATAAAAGAAATATAATGATAAGAAAGTGCAAATGGTAGGATGAGTTAGGGAATAACAACATGCGACCAAGCATATATATATAAATATGCTTCGATTTTTACTTTATTCGTGGGCACACGATTCACCAGACATTTCTGGGGCTCGCGCACTGCCTTCCACACAACAAAGATCAGCTGAATACCAAAAACAGCTGTGTGATTTGACCTCGTCACGCGGGGAAGGGAATATCTTTTGTGTTTCACTGTTTGGTATGCATTTACTCTTCGAAACTGCATCGCATGCGCTGAAATAAACATTGTTAACTCCTGACATCTTACAATCAGATGACCAACATTCGCTACGTTCAATCACTATTTATTGTAACTAAATTGTATTATTTTCTGTATACTGGCAACACTCTACCAGTACACAAATAATATAGGAAAAAATATAGTATTATTCAATAGTAATCCCATTTTTTCACAAATAGTAAGTGAAACTAAAGTTGCCTTGCATAAAATGTTACACAAAAATTGTAAATATAACTTCATTATAGCCTGTTGTATTTTCATATTAATAATGCATATTCTAAGAGAAAAGGTAGCTGAAGATGAAACTACTAAGTTTGTAACAACTATTTTAAATTACAACCTCTCTTAGAAGTAGTAATTGCTGATTTACTAAAGTTATTTTGTACAGAGTAGGCTAATTGTACCAGTTAGATCTGTTCAATTAATATATACGGTGAAGTAATATAGTTTAATCATGATATATCTATACATTTTTTTTAAATATAACCCTTTTGGGTTTAACAGCCACCACAAATTTTTGTTGTTTTTTTTGGAATCGAACCAACGACCTTTCGTATCAGATTTTCGTGATACAGGCGACCATAGTCACACAGCTACGGCCGCCCATAAACGTACATTTGATTCATGTATTTTCATATTGTCATAAAAGTTGCCTATCTAAACTAAAGTAATCTATTTGACAGTATCTGCATGAACTACTTTGGTGCTTTGGTTTAAGTACGTCAAATGTGTTAATTGCATACAGAAGTCAGCTGTTGACATCATATTGATGTTAAAATCTGTTAGTCGTGAAATAATAAATATTTACTATCTATGTGAACTCAGTTGTGATTTATAATATGCAAAAATGTCTATTTTGGAGGATGAGAACGCTACATGGTAAAATATTTACAAATTAAAAGAATAGCAAATAAAACAAGAATTAGAATTATTGCAATAGCTATTTAACACTCACCTAACTGTATTTCATATATGTTGCCAATGAAGTCTTCAGTGTGTAATGCTGCTATTTACTTTATGACTTGCCACATCATTTTCTAAAAATTATCTTTCTATTTATTAGTTTTATAATGTGAATCATCATCATTCACTAGAAATATATCATGTATTCTAATAATCATTTTATTTTTAATAGGATTCAAGAACTAGAAAATGTTCTGTTGGAAGAATGCACAGCAAGTGATATATATTGCTTATGCAAAGGTAAACCACTTCCAGATAGTATAAGACAAGAAGTGTGGCAGGTATTTATTACATTAAATTTAACTTCATTTTGATATATTTATAAATGCCTATTGTAGGTTTGCTTGGACGTTCGTGATAAAGGCAACCAAATTGATCATTTTAATGAGATTTTTGATTTGCCTAATCAAGTGGTTTTGAGAGAGGATTGTGCAAATTTTGTATCAAAGTTAGGAAATGATGAGGCTGAAAGACCATCCATTGTCTCTGACTTGGAGAGTATTCTCACTTTTTACTGCAAAAGTCGAAGTTTGCAATATGAGAGAGGGAATGGTTGGATTGAACTGTTACTTCCAATAATCACATTGAAAGTCGGAAAATCGACCATTTATAATTTATTTGAAGGTATACGTGACATGTACATTCCACAAGGCTCTCATAAGAATGGCAATGTGTTCCATATACTGAGACTGCTGCTGCTGTACCATGATCCAGAGTTATGTAACTTATTGGATACAAAGAAACTAACCCCAGATTTGTATTGCTTGACTTGGTTTCAATCACTTTTTGCAGCCACATGCAATTTAAATGTTACCATTACTATGTGGGACTATTATTTGCAACAATCCGATCCGTTTTTCGTTTTCTTTTTGTCTCTGATTATGGTGATTAACGCCCGTGAGCAGATAATATCAATGAAGAACGAAGATAAAGAAACTTTAATTAAGATGCTAACTTCAATGCCGAACGCATTGGAGGCTGAAGATGTAGCAGACTTCTGTTCACTGGCTCAGTATTATGCCGCGAAAACCCCAGTCGGTTTCCGCACTGACTTGATGCAGTCTTTATATAGTGGAAAGGGCGACGATATTAGCTTAATATCACAAGCCCTTTGCTTACCTGTATCTGTTCAAGAATTGGTAGAAAATAGTAGCATGGATGGAGGCAACGCAGACGCTGTTCGTTTTTTTATAGTAGACTGTAGACCAGTAGAGCAATACAATGCTGGGCATTTATCCACGGCTTTCCATTTGGACTGCAATTTGATGTTGCAAGAGCCGAGCGCATTCCAGACAGCAGTACAGGGCCTTCTAAACGCACAGAAACAAGCACTGGCTATGAATTCCAACGCTGGTATTTAATTATTATAATTATATAAGTAGTATCATGTTTATCGCCGTTCATTTTTTAGGAGGAGAGCATCTATGTTTTTTGGGTTCTGGGCGAACCGAAGAAGATCAATACACTCTAATGGTTGTTGCATCTTTTCTTCAAAAGCATACTCAGTATGTATCGATTTTAACTGGAGGTTTTATTTCTTTACATGACTATTTTGGTAATCAATGTGGAGATTATCTGCAAGACCACGTATCTTCGCAGTGTATGGTCTGTGGACCATTGATGACAGGTGAGTTTATCTAATAAAATTTGCGTTAATAATATGTTTACGTTTGATTGTTCAAAACAGCTGGAAAATCAGGGAAACAAACTAATCGAGGCCAGTCGAATGATTTGTTTGGTAAAATTTCTGCGGCAATGAAAAACAAATCTGCGGAGGTTAAAGGAATGCTTTTCGAATATATTGTTAATCCGAATAATAGTCCGGTGCAAGAGAGACACGTTTCCAGCAGCGATAAGCAAGGGAAACGATATAGAAATGTTGCTCCTGTTTTTAGCATAGATGACGATCATGATAATGTTACTTCTGATCAGGTTTGTATTTTTAAAACAAATGTATTAATTTGGATTATATCAACCTATATTTGTAGATCCAAGAGGACGATGAAAGGCAATTTGTTTCAATACAAAGCTGGTTGAAAAATGCTGATTTGATCAAGCATTTTCCATGCCAGGAAGTGAAGCTTAATGGTTTCATGTACAAGAGCCATCTGATGGTGACCGATACCCATTTGGTAGTACTCAGAGAGATACCAGACAAGAAGGGCACTGCGGAGGTCATCGTCAAACGGCCTTTGACGGCTATTGTTAAAATAACCGCGAAAAAGCGTCATCCCGATTTGATTACCTTTAAATATGGTGTCCACGACGGCGATTCTTTAATGATATCAGACATGGACAGCTTTTTGATTCCGGAGGCTCATATTGCTACAAAAGTCGTCACAGAGCAGATTCTAAAACAAGTCAAAACAATCGAGTTACTTATGTAATACATAATTTATTCTTAATTGTTGTTGCTATAGAAAATGTTTCTTAGGCTAAAAATTGTTTCCTATTTTTTTCTTCTATTAACAAGATTCTATTAATTGTGCATAAATATACTTATTAAATGTTCTTACCAAGTTGTTTCATTTAAGAATATTAAAAAGTAATAATTTATAGAAATTATTGTGAAAAAATATATTAGCAAATAAATAACATTTAATCAAATTAGTACATTTATTAGATATATCAAATAATTTTAAGGTAATTTAAGTGTTGGAATAATGTCTTAATTAAGCCTATCAGTTTTACATCATAAGTAAAAGTACAAAGTTTCAAATGTGCAGAAAGACTGTGTGGTCAATAGCCATATGCAACAGTTGAGTGTTTATTTAATTATTATTGCATTAAGGTCTTGTTGCAATAAAATTGCATTTATTGTACCTAAATTAATTCTTTTACTTAAATTTATTATATTAAGTTTTTGAAAAAAGATTCTCATTGACCCAATAATTCGTAAAGGCGGGAACTACTTCTATGCAATTCTTCACACCCTTCACACTAAAAGTGTAAACTTCATTATTATAACATTTTGAAGTAAAATACAAGAATTTTATTGTCATCTATTACTTTGTAAACACGATATTAGTTTAAATATGCGTAATATTTGTTATTCTCAAAGCATATGTAAGATTATAAGTAGAAAATGTGAAATGGTAAAAAATTTGAAATGCCATTCAATTCGTTACTGAGCTAACTTCGGGTGGGTTTCTGCCGTTGTTAACGGGAGTAAACAAAAGTTGTTGTTAGCGACCAATGTCGTTAATGTGAATAAAATCGATCAAATACCGTTTCAAGGGAAATGTAATAAATAGCGCCACGCAATTATATAAGAGCGTTGAATAATTGAAGAGGATATGTAAGATTTTATTCCAGTTAAGTGAAAAGCGTGGTGAGGAAAGGGCCATGGATTCGCGAAATCAAAAGTTGGAACAACAGGTAAAGAAGGCGGCTTTTTAAAAAGAAATATATTTATTTTAATGGTATTTATTTAATAGCGTCAGTTGATGGAGCAAAAGATGAGACAAAAGAGGCAGACTGCAGGGATGATCCAAGCATCTGATATTCGGAATAATAGCGCTAAGGGAAATAGAGGAAATAGTGCAGCTAACAGAAGGGAATTACATGGTCTGCACATTTCCTTTTTTTATTTTACAATTAAAATTATAGATTATGTTATGTTTCAGGTTATGATGGTCCTTTACATTATTCAATGACAAAAGACAATCCAGATCAAGTTATAACAATCATCCCTAGTGTTGATGCAATTGATGGTTAGTTTCACAAAGAGCACCATTTCATTTAATATATTATGTTATATTTTAGATACTCAAGTAGAAGATCTGACAATAAGTTCATCAAATGAACTCATGGACATTGAAGATGAAGAATCCACTCCCATAACAACTTCATCTGATAATGGGGCAATGCCTATTAATCCAATTAATGATCAACCTAATTTAATCAATCGTGGGGTTTGTTATAGAAAATAATTTAGTTTGTTATAACTGATAATTTATGATATTGTTTAATTGAAGACTGCTGAAATGGAAGGTGATCTGGAAGGAAATATAGAAAAGTTTGTCATGCAACCAGCTACCCAAAAAGTACTTTACAAGTGTAGAATTACTAGAGATAGGAAAGGCATTGACAGAGGCCTATATCCAACTTACTACCTGCATTTAGAGAGGGAATATGGAAAGAAAGTATTTCTGCTGGCTGGAAGGAAACGAAAAAAAAGTGCTACAAGTAATTACTTGATATCTACAGATCCTATTGATCTATCAAGAAATGCTGAATCTTATATAGGTAATGAAATTAAACAACATATAATGTCTTGTAATATAATAAATGTGTATTTATAGGTAAACTGAGATCAAATTTGTTGGGTACGCAGTTTACAATATTCGATAACGGCAAATCCGCAAGGCGTAGTGGTCCAAATGATACTAACATTCGTCAAGAATTAGCAGCTGTTATTTATGATACTAATGTGTTAGGTTTTAAAGGACCAAGAAAAATGACTGTCATATTACCAGGTAATATTTAGTTTAAACGTTATTATTCTGCAAATATATAATTGACAATTTAAGGTATGACATTGAGTTATGAAAGAGTGTTGATGCAACCACAAGAGAATGGAGAGGGTTTAATTGATTTATGGAAGTCGAAGAATATGGAAAATATTATTGAACTTCATAATAAAACCCCGGTCTGGAATGACGATACACAATCTTACGTATTGAATTTCCATGGTCGAGTGACGGAAGCTTCGGTGAAGAATTTCCAGATAGTTCACGACAGCGATAATGAATATGTTGTGATGCAATTTGGTCGCATTGCAGAAGACATATTCACGATGGACTACAGATATCCAATGTGCGCTTTACAGGCTTTTGCCATTGCGCTTTCCAGTTTCGATAGCAAATTGGCCTGTGAATAATGGCTTAAGGTAAGAAAGAAGGCTATGTTTAGTTTACTGAAAGGAAAATCAAAAGAAAAATGATGTAAAATTAAGTTGCCTTTAATCTTGGTGATATTATTGTTTTATATATTTACCCTATGTTTTTGAAGCACGATATTTTTCTCTAGTCCGAATAATTTTAAGCTGCAATTGTGTTTAAGAATGAATACAAAATAAGACCGATTTGAATTAAGACTGCGTTATTTCGTTATGTTACACATTTTGTTTAGCTTGTTCATTTTATTTATAGTCTTGGAAACAAGTGTCCCAACGACAAGTTAATGCATCTGATAAAGACAGTATTGTAAATGTTAGGATAGTATTTTATAATTAATATTTATTGAATTTATTTCTATAACCGGGTTACGAGGAATTAATAAGCGGAAAAAAAACACACAGGGTGTTATTGTTGTTAGATGAGTTTTTAAACTTGATGTTCATTGTCTGTTCACTTAAAATCAAGTCAATTTATCTGAATCTGTATTTTTGTACTTGATGTATTATACAAGAAAAAAAAAACACTAAATTCATATTATGAAACAAACAAAATAATATGCTTTGCTAAATTAGATTTTATATTTTGATGATGACATAATTTTTAATATTTTATTATAATCAAAAATTATACAAGATCTAAACGTAATTTTTGATATGTATTATTCATGAAGATGCCTTCATATTAATTGAAATCACGTAATAGTGTATTGCAAACATTATTAAGCTTTATTTGGAAACGAATCCTCACATTTTTTTTCCTATTCGTAAAAAATGTTGCTCATAAACAATAAGAAAGTATTAATTGATGTGCAAAGCGTGTTTGAATAACCATCTTCTAGTTAACGTGTGAAGATTGATTTACACTTGATAAATGTTTGTATTGCACAAAAACCAATATTATTTCCCCGAATAATAATTGTTACTAGTTTTATGTCTAAATGTACTTAATTTTTTAAATGTTGTAAATTAAAAATATAATAATAAAAATATGTGTATACTCATTATGTATATATTTCTGAATTACACGTGCTTAGATTAACAATATAATATAGTTATAGCATCGAAACAAATAAAATCAATCCCAATATTTGGCACCAATTTGGTAACTTAACAATTTAATAATTATGGCCAAGCGTATTCTAGAGATTAAATCACATTATAATACTAATACAATGGAATATAACAATATTGCAAGTTAGTATAGATAGAGAATTTATTCGCACATCTGGAGGAGCGAATTGATGGTGCCATCTTTGTTACCGCGGTTGGCTTCGAAAACGGATTTGATGACTTCTTTATCAATATTTGGAAACATCTCTTCAATCTGAAATTGTATTGTTTCATTAATAATCCCTACTCATTGTCGACATAATTACCTGATTGAATTCTGTTTCACTGAGAACTGGGACAGAAGGAAGAGCTGGATTATTTGCTGGTGGTGCAGAATACACTGGTGCTGGTACTCTGCCACCACTGACATTTTGCAACATCATTACTGGTGGATATTGCATAGATGGAGGTGCATTTAGCTATATACAATTTTGATAAGATTAAACGCGTGGTTCAATTGTCATATAATATAACTTACCACATAGCTCAACACTAAATTAATAGAACCCTCAAGCCCTTCACCTTGTTTTCCAGATAAAGGATACCATTCCTCTTGTGTTTCACCTAACAATACTTGCTTAGGTATTGTAAATTGAGTCCAGGCAATCAATTCATCAACATACAAAGATCTTTCATCATAAATATCTATTGAAACTGTATTCACTCCATGTGGCAACAAACTATAAAGTGTAGTTCAATCAGATAACATAAATTATATTATTTCAAAATATAGTTACCATTGAATCACTTTGTTCCAACGTGGATTTTTTCCTCCATTGGGATCAGTATGAGTTTCATAAATTGCATGACCCATTCTAACTCTGACATAAGGGTCCATACGTGTTATGCCATAATTCTTGACCAGTTTTGCTTGTGCAATAGTTATACTGAATCGTCCAGCTAATTTGGGTGGGTATGCTGATAATACAACAAATTGATGTTGCAATGCAAGGGCTGTCTGACGATCAACTGCTTCTTGTTGCTTTTGTACACCCCCAGTAATCCTTAAGAAGTCATCTGGCAATGGTCCCAAGAAAACCTTTAAAAGCAATTTATTTTATTGATAATGTGAAATATATATATGTTGACTATTTACCTTAACCTTGCGGTCCTTAACTTTATCAATAACAGCTGAAGCCATTGCTTTAGCAACAATATTCATGCAAGAGTTTTTAATATTACAATATTTTGATCAGTATTTGTTGGGTCTCACAAAGTTTCACAACTTTGACACTTCAAATTGCTTCAAATGTCAAATCTATTTTCTTTCTATCATCTGTACACCAGTGGTCGGCAAACTGCGGAATGCGGATCTTTAGTTACTTAATGATAGTAAAAGTGAGTAAAAGTAATACTAACATAGTTTCAAATAATATTTACTTGTATTTGAAGTGAATAAAAATATAATATAATATAGTTTGTTCAAATAAATTCAAAGGAACCAAATGGAAAGAAGCATTTTGGTAATCCATAAGTAAAGTTGGTATTGGAATTATTTATGACATTTAAGTAAATTACTCTACATTGATTATACATTTGTTTATTCCATTTATTTGTGGTCTTAATTATTCTATATAGATTGTGTTAATTACAATTTTCATTTGCTTCTGGTATTTAAATAATGTTTTAAATATTTTCAGTTGTAACTGTAAGATTGTAGTACATTTACTGTTTCATATATTTGATAGTAAATAGTATCTACAGAAAATGGTTGTTTGTGCACCAGACCATGGGTTGCAGGCAGATGTGATTTTTGTAATTGAAGGAACAGCAGTGAATGGGGCATACATAAATGATTTGAAATCGAATTATATAATGCCCTCGATAGAGTGAGTATAATTATTGTATTTATTTAGTATACTTTTAATATATTGTTTTAATGAGAAAATAATGAAGATCTATATATTTATAGAAATTTTAAAATGATGAGTCTTGAACGGATATTTGAGATTTGGTTAGAGGTATTGGCTTGAACCAATGTAACCTTGCTGAATATTGATAACAAATACACTTGCTGATTTTATTGTATTATATTTTACCTTGTTATTATAATTTTTTTCTCTGGTTTATATATATATTTTGAATGTATTTTATAGGTATTTTAGTCAGGGAAATCTGGATGAAGTTAATTATATGTCGGATAATGCTAGTTGTATTTATGGTATTGTTGTGTATCATGCAGCAGACTGTCTTTCCAGTCCTAGCAGTGAGAGTATTGGACCATTTTCTAGTCCAGGGAAATTAGTTAAAACTATGGATAGACTGGAGTATGTTAGTAGTTAATGTTTTTTTAAATTTTTATTAATTGTATATTTTAACTAGATTGATTGCTGGTAAAGGAGAGTCACATTCAAATATTGCTGAAGGTTTGGCAACAGCTTTACACTGCTTTGAAGATTTGCAACAGAGGCATGATCCAAGTGCAAATGTTCAGAAACATTGCATACTGATATGTAATTCACCTCCATATATGTTGCCAGTATTAGAATCTCATACTTTTTCTGGGAAAACAACTGACCAACTGGCATCAATACTGCAGGAACGTCAAATACATTTATCAGTGATATCTCCAAGAAAAATTCCTGCATTATATAAGTTATTTGAGAAGGCTGGAGGGGATTTGGGAACATCTCAAACTAAAAATTATGCTAAAGATCCAAGGCATTTGGTACTGTTAAAGGGATATAGGTATATATTTAGTTAAAATGTTGTTTGTTTCAAATTGTAATAACATTAATATAGTTTGAAGGAGAGACCAATAAGCCCACCTCCTGGAAGTGTTAACACGAATCAAAATCCTTTAGCTTCGCCGAGTCCTTTGGCTAATCATGACAGTCCAATTTCGGGACCATCAGGACAGTCGAATCAACCAATGATTGGGCCCAATTCAAATCCTGTACAAAATGTGGTTGGTGCAAATGCTGCTTACAATAGAAGTGCTAATCCGGCAGGTTTGAATCAAATGCCGCAGCACAATTCAGCTATGGTCAATCCAGGAATGGTAAATGTCGGTATTCCAAATGTCAGAGGTGTTATGATAGGGCAAAATCAATTTGCTGCTCAGACATTACAAGCGCCACCAGGCTACCATCCAGGTTCTGGTATGTTATTGAAACAATTTGTTATTGATTTAGTATAATTATATTACTATATAAACTATTATTTAAGGCATTGGCAATAGAGGTCCTGCTAGGTGGATGACAATGGGCAGACAATACGTTAATCCGCAAACTCCGGCTCAACCAGGTACACCTCAAAGCAGTGCTCTGATTGACCAATTGACGCGTCCTCCTTCATCTATGCCAAGTTCTGTAAATCAATTTGGTCCAAGTGAGTTTTTCCATTATATTTATATTTTTGAATTTCCGTTTATCATTTTATAGTGCCGAACAATCCACAAATGGCTAATCAAATAAGAATGGGTATCCTGTCATCGCAGCAAAATCAACCGTCTTTATCACAAGTGCAGCAAAATGTACAAAGTTCTATGGCCCAAAATCCTGGTACTCCTGGAATGCAACAAACCTCTAATCCAAATCAGGTACAGCAACCAAATCAACCAGTTAATACATCACAAGCTTCACAGCCTGGACAGTCTATGAATCCACAAAGACAAACTATTTGGAGTGGGTCATTGGAATGGTTGGAAAAGAAGACACCAACTGAAACACAGAAGATTACTAGACATGTACCATGTTCCGTTTCTGTAAATATCAAAGAAGGGGAACCTGAAATGTACGTTACAGTTTCTAAAAAATAATAAATATTATTTACATTTTCATAACATTTCAGGAAAGCCGACGGATGGCCAAGCAAATTAATAATGCAATTGATGCCCAAACAGTTGATTGGAAACATCGGTGGGGCATTTTTGAAAAATTCAAAATCGGTATTGTTTCATCCAACAAATTGCGAAGCATTAGAAACACTAACGAAAGTGATGAATTCAGGATTTGTACGTATATTATGTTCATATAAAATGTTGCATATTTGATTCATTTTTTTTAGGCTGGTTGCGTTCATTTCACTCCAAATAGTGCAGAATGCGATATAAAAGTATTGATCCTTCTATATACGTCAGAGAAGAGAGCATATTTAGGATTTATACCGAACGATCAAGTTGCGTTTGTTGATAGATTAAGAAAGGTTATTCAACAGCAGAAGTCTTCGCAAAATTTAAGACAGGTATTGCTGGTAATTGTTGATTGTTATTGCAAAGTTATATATTTGTTTTTCATTTAATAGGGAACAGGCGGAAATATCAATCCTCAAACTGGTGCTCCAATGGCAGGTCAACAAAACCCTGTAACTTCGCAAACCCCATCACAAGGTCTCATGATGTCTCAAACTAATGCTATTGCTATGGGCGGCGGCCAATTAACCCAGAATGTTGTGGCATCCACGGGACAACCAGGTCAAGGGTTAGGTAACCAAGGACTTTTAGGACAAAATGTGCCTGGAGTTGTAATGGGCCAAAGGTTGCGAATGCCCGTGGTATTTTCGACATAATTAGTTGTTAAATTCGTTTTGTAAATTGAACATTTTAGGGTTTACAACAAACTGCAGGTCAAATGCAAGGCAACCCACAGCAACAGCAGCAGCAGCAGCAACAACAGCAGCAACAGCAGCAGCAGCAACAACAACAAAGTCAAGGTGCTGGTGCTGCGGGTGCCGCTGGTAATATGATGGGTAATCAAAGACCTACTCAACCGTTTGCAAATCAACTAGAAGCCGAAAGACAAGCAAATTTGGATAAAATTAATCAGCTGCGGCAAACCTTAGAAGCTGCACAACAACAAGAACAACAATATAAAACGGAACTAGAAAGAATTTCGCATATGAAAACAGCTCAACTTCAAGAAGCATTGCAAATTGCACAGCATCAAGAGATGCAATATAAAATCCTGGATGTAAGTGAATGTAGTAAATACCAGTTAAAATATTTAAAAAAATGCATAATTTGTAGCAGCAGCGACTAGGAAGTCAAAGTAATCTGCAGCCTCAAAATGCACCGCAGAGAATGTTACGACCTGTACTACCTAACAATCCGGGACTAAGAACACTTTTGCAACAGGTAATATTAATATTATTTTATGTACTTAGCTTGTTTTTATAAAAGTATATTTTTAGCAGCAACCCCAATATAGGCAACAAATGATGATGCATACTTTGGGAGGTTCTGGACCCAGACCACAAATGGGACAACAAATGCAGAATTCTGCTGGGAATCAACAAGTATTTGATGAAGGTCCCAATTTCACTGATTTTATGTAGATAATTAACGAAAAATATGCCAGGAGAAACTTAAATTTACTCATAGCTTCAAAATGAAGTAACATTTTATCTTTTTTATTATTAAATGTTTATTTTCTGTATGCATTTATTTTTGTGATGAGCGACAATTACTGACTGTATAAAATGAATAAATAAATATATGTATATACAGATTTCAAGTACAGACTGACCAGATATGTTATTTAGACCTTAATTGAGAAACATATTCTAGTATTTTAGTATCTGATTATCAACTATATTCAGCATTTTTTATTTAATTAATATTGTTTTTAAAATACACCTATCTCCCTGAAAATAATGTGTAGTGTAAATCGAAATTGTAACTTTTTGAATGTAAAACTGTATACATCCAAAAGTGTATCAAACAAAATATTGAAAGGCAAAAAATATATTAATTCTTCTATTAATTAAATACAAAGGAACAAAAAAAAATATAAATGATGGCAATTATCATTCATTATTGACAATCTACTTTAAACCGTGTAAAAGAGAAAATATAAAATAGTACTGTGTAAAACGAGGTTATTTTCAACATTTATTTTTTAATTTATTAATTTTTAAACCGTGTAAAGAAAGTGTGTAAAAAAAGTACCGTGTAAAACGAGGGATACGTGAATTTACTTTTTTCCTTTGGGTTGGTATGGTTTGTACAATATTTATTTTGATTTTGGTATGACTTGTTTGTAAAATGTATTAAATGGTGTGTTAAATTCAAAACACATGTGAAGGCGTGCTTTATTCACATAACCTTAAAACAAGTTGAAGTTTCATAAAGTTAAACATTTAAGATGGTACGCAAGAAGATTGATAATAGAATTCGTGTTCTAATCGAGAATGGAGTTAAATTGGGACACAGAACATTATTTGTTATGGTTGGTGATAAAGGCCGTGATCAGGTTAGTACAATTCATTTAACTTAATAATGTATAAAATGTATAAAACTTCATTTTCTACCTGCAGGTTGTAATTTTACATCATATGTTAGCCAAAGCTGAAGTAAAAGCAAGACCATCAGTGCTATGGTGCTATAAAAAGGAGTTAGGTTTCAGCAGCAACAGGAAGAAACGTATGAAGCATTTACAACATAAGATTAAAGCTGGAAAGTTGAGTGTAAATGAAGATGACCCTTTTGAATTATTTGTTTCCAGTACAAAAATACGTTATTGTTATTATTCTGAAACACAGAAAATCCTTGGAAACACTTATGGTAAATGCAAAAACAATAATTAACATTTTTTATATTTATATATTTACTTTGCAGGTATGTGTGTTTTGCAAGATTTTGAAGCCTTGACACCTAATTTGCTAGCAAGAACAATTGAAACAGTAGAAGGTGGTGGCATTGTTGTTCTATTATTGCGTACCATGAATTCATTGAAACAACTTTACACATTGACAATGGATGTGCATCAAAGATTTAGAACTGAAGCTCACCAGAATGTATCTTGTAGATTTAATGAACGTTTCCTGTTGAGTTTGGCATCTTGCAAGAGATGTCTTGTTGTTGATGACCAATTAGCAGTCTTACCTGTCTCATCTCATAATTTACATGTGACACCCATTGATATAGCAGAAGAAAAATCAAAATCTGATGAGGAATTAATAGAGTTAAAAGCTAACTTGAGAGACACACAACCTGTTGGTTCTTTGGTAAATTGTTGTAGAACTTTGGATCAGGGTAAAGCCCTGTTGAAATTTATTGAAGCTATATCAGAGAAAACTTTGAAATCAACAGTGTCTTTAACTGCTAGTAGAGGACGAGGCAAATCTGCTGCTTTAGGACTTTCTGTAGCTGCAGCTGTTGCCTTTGGCTATAGTAACATATTTGTTACAAGTCCCAGCCCTGAAAATTTGAACACATTTTTTGAATTTGTTTTCAAAGGCTTTGATGCTTTAGAATATCAGGAACATATTGATTATGGTTTAGTGCAAAGTACAAATCCGGAATTTAACAAGGCGATTGTTAGAGTTAACATCTTTAGGGACCATAGACAGACTATTCAGGTATGCATAACTTAATTTGTAAGAAAATTGTATAGACTTGGTATGATTTTATATTTCAGTACATACATCCTACTGATGCAAATAAATTGTCACAAGCGGAATTGGTGGTTATTGATGAAGCTGCAGCTATTCCATTACCATACGTTAAAGCTATGTTGGGACCGTATTTAGTATTCTTAGCATCGACAATTAATGGGTATGAAGGTACCGGAAGGTCATTATCTTTAAAGTTGTTACAACAATTAAGGGTGCAAACAGTTCCCGTTGGTGCTAATACCAATGCAGCAAATAAGAAAGATTCTGCTGCAGCTACGGGAAGAACGTTACATGAAGTAAGTGTTAATATTTGAAAACAAAAAAAATATTAACCAAGTTCCTATTTGTTAAAGGTTACGTTAGAAGAATCAATTCGTTATAAATCTGGAGATGCAGTTGAAACATGGCTAACAAAATTGCTGTGTTTAGATGCTACATCAGTTTCATCATTATCTTCTGGTTGCCCGCCTCCGGATGCATGTGAACTGTACTATATAAACAGAGATACATTATTTTGTTATCATAGGGCATCAGAAGAATTTCTTCAGAGATTGGTGTCTTTATATGTTGCTTCTCATTATAAGGTACTTCAATATACACATATAATTTGCAATATCAGCAATAATAAATTTGTATTTGTAGAATTCTCCAAATGACTTGCAAATGATGTCTGATGCCCCAGCTCATCATTTGTTCTGCTTGTTAGGACCAGTAAATCCGAATAAGAGTTCATTACCAGAAATATTGGTTGTTATTCAAGTTTGTCTGGAGGGACAAGTGTCGAAAGATTCTGTTGTGGATAATTTTAATCGTGGAAAGAGAGCCGCAGGTGATTTAATACCTTGGACAATAGGACAACAATATCAAGATCCGGATTTTCCAAGCTTAGCTGGTGCTAGAATTGTGAGAATCGCAACTCATCCAGACTATCAAGGCGTATGTTCTTATTAATTATTAAATATTATCTTAATCCAATACTATAAACTTTCAGATGGGATACGGTGCGAGGGCTGTAGCTTTACTAAAAGACTATTACGAATTTAAAATGACAAATATAGAAGAAGAGAAGAATAACGGAGTTACCGAAGAAATTGAACAGGTTGGTGATGATGATTTGGGTCTTTTAGAAGAAACGATTGAACCAAGAAAAAAATTACCGCCATTGCTTTTGAAATTGAATGAAAGGCAACCTGAAAAATTAGATTATTTAGGTGTCTCCTATGGTTTAACTGAACCTCTTTTAAAGTTTTGGTAAGCCTATTTTATTTTCCTAAACAAATAATTTATTTTTAACATTTGCGTTCTTTTGTTTTGAATAGGAAACGAGCCGGATTTGTTCCAGTTTATTTGAGGCAAACAACTAATGATTTGACCGGTGAACATTCTTGCATCATGATTAATGTTTTGAAACACGACGACGAAGCACCGGCTTCTGATTGGTTAAGCGCTTATTGGGTAGATTTCAGGAGGCGTTTCCTTTCACTGTTATCGTATCAGTTTAGCACGTTTACACCATCGTTATCCTTGGGCGTTCTGAACAATAAAAATAACCAAGTCGAAGCTAAGACTATGATGCGGAACGAATTGGATGTGTATATGACTAGTTACGACGTGAAGCGTTTGGAGATGTATAGCAATAATTTGGTCGACTATCACCTCATTGTGGACTTGTTGCCATCTCTCGCAAGAATTTACTTCTTGAAGCACATGGGAGATGTAAACTTCTCAGCAGTTCAATCAGCTATTCTGCTGGGCATTGGACTGCAACACAAAACTGTCGACGATTTGGCTTCTGCTTTGGATTTGCCTGCAAATCAATTGCTTGGTTTATTCAATCGTCTAGTGCGTAGATCCGTACAATATTTGAATGGAGTTTTGGAAGACGATGTGGAAAAATCGTTAGCGCCAGTTAAGAATATTCAAATGAATGCCATGGCACAGTCATTGCAAAAGGAGCTCGATGAAGCCTCGAAGGAATTGGAGCAGAAGCAGAAAAAGGAACTGAAAAAGTTGAAAGATGAAAATCTATCGCAGTTCGCTATTAAAGGTTCCGAGCAAGAATGGGGTAAAATGCTGAAAGGAAAAGGAAGCAAAAATATAATATCGGTTAAAAGGTAAATGTTTGTTTTAATGTTTTATATGCGTTAATCTAATAAAGTTTTCACGTATGTTGTAGTGAAAACTTGACGATTGACGCTTTTGATAAACTGGAAATATAATCATTTCATTTTGTAGTGGAGAAAAAAGGATGCATGAAGATACGGAGGACGTAGCTGAAGCTGAACCGCAGGTCAAAAGCAGTAAGAAGAAAATGAAGAATAAGAAGAAGTAATTATAAATATATATTTTTAAAAAATAATATAAAATGAATTTTAAGTATGATTGATTTTGTTATTATTTCCTCGCAACAAATTATATTTTATAGATTGCAATATTATTATTATTAGTTTTATCAATTTATATCTACCTTAGTGTATATAAAGCGTTCGAAAACATTCATTTTGAAAATGGATAAGTTACGGTTTCTCATTGTATCAATATGCATATTGACATCAGAAGCTACAACATATTTTATAAGTAAGATTTAGAAAATATTAATATTTATATTATCACGTAATATTTTAGCAATAAATAGTCGACATTCGGATGTAACAGATTACAGTTTTGTACCGGTCAAGACCAACAATTTGGAAGTTCTGATCAAATCAACACATGGCGCAAAGATTCTACTCTCTGAGAGTGCAAGCAGTGTTGCTCCTTTCTTCGAAATTACACTGTCCGGAAAACAATCAGAACCTAATATTATTACCAGAGATGACCCCAAAAATGTTCAAAGTATAGATTTGAAGGAAGTAGCGTTGTCGGGGGATACATTTAATACTATTAAACTTTCTTGGAATAATGGTATTGTCGTGAGTAAAGGTCCTAATCATGTTGTTAGTTTTAACGAGAGCTTCATCAATGTCGTGAACTTCATCGGGTTTGCAGCTGGAATAAATGATGATGCTATATTTATGGTTCCTCTTGACGGCTGTGATGTTAATAATAATACTTAACTTAAATAAACAATTAAAATATTTTACAATTTTTGAATACTGTAATAAATGAATAAAAGTAATTTAAGTAATATTTATTTTTTTATTTTCACATATTTGCTGCGTACAAATAAAACATGCAAGAGAATAATTAAACAAACTTTTTATAGATAACATTAATATTGCAATTGATAATAGTCTAAATTCTCAGTAGTATAATTTTGTAAAATAGGTTTGAGTGGTTAATGATATTTGATTAGAAAATTGATTAAATGGTATTTGATCAGTACTTAAATGTGTTATCTTCTTTCTAAATTACTTAAATAGAGTGCTTACCTTTTTCAAACTCATATTTGTGCATGTAGTTATAATAATGTTCACAATGTTTAAATTTGCGATTGGTGCATTGATTCTATTTTTTATTTTTAATGAATCGCATTCAAAAGAATTTATAAGTAAGATATATCTTCAACATTAAATGAATATGAAAACTAAATCTGTTTTAGAGATTAACAGCAAGCACCAACATTACAGTTTCGTGCCGGTCCAATATACAAAAACTGAGTTATTAATTAGAGGAGGTAGCCAAGCAAAAATACTCTTGTCGACAACATCGGCTGCTGTACCACCTTTCTTTGAAATTACCATAAGCGGAGACCCAAATATCAACCATAAAATTGCACAAGATTCATCTGAAAATATACAAATTCAAAGCGCTGTAAATGAAACAACAATGATCACAGACGTGGAATTCACATACTTTATGTTGATGTGGGATGAAGCAGATATTAGAGTGTATCAAGGAAATTTTGAAGAAGTGATTCGGTACAATAGCACTGGAACTGGAAGCATGAACTTCATTGGATTCGCAGCTAGCGAAGAAAGTAAAGTCACGTTCATGATGCCATACATGTATATTTGCAATAATAAATATTAGATTGAAAATATATCATTAAATCGAATACATTTATTTAATATCCTATTTGGTGTCCATAATCTTCAAATACGAAGGTAGCTTCACTGCTGTTTCCTGAAGAAAATCCAATATAGTTGAATGCAGTATCCCCAGATCTTCTATAGGATACAACCATGTATTCATCTCCTGCTTGAGCTCCATGTAAAGCGATTCTGCTGTTATTCCAGAATAAAGTGAACGATCTGAATTCGTGTTCAATGACATGCGTCCTAATTCTAGAAGCGACTACATTTCCAGGATAATCTTTAATAACTTGATTCATTAATTTGTCTCTTCCGCTGATGATGATTTCATAATATGGTCCAACGAGTGCGGGTCCTGTAGTTAAAGCCAGCCTGGCCTCATCCTTGGCTCTAATGTCAAATGTTAGGTTCGTTCCAGAAATAGGCACAAAACTGTAAATTGGAGTTGTTCTGTTTTGACTGTGAATAGCTAAAATGATTATATAATTTATAATATCAGTCATTAGTATATATTATATTATGATACTCACAAAAGTGACGAGGAGTAATTGTTGAAGCTTTGAAAATGAAGCAAAGCGCAACGAATATCAACAACGTCTTTGACATATTGAATAATAAGATATTACTAACTAACAAGTACTGGCTTATATAAACTGTAAATCACGATAACAAATTAACAATCTTATCAGATAGCAAATTGAAAATGCGATATAAAATGCACTTTTTAAATATATTAAAAAAATGTTATATTTAGAATGTGTTACTTAATTGCTCATATCTTAAACGAAGTCATCTTTGAATATTTTTTATTGTCAATAAGACATATAATTATGTTATGTAAAAAAAAATCTTCAAATAAATCGTTTGTCAACATGTTTGTTATATTATTGTGGTGTTCAATATTATTTGGTAGAACGTTAGAGTACAAAACTTCTGTAAATGAATATTGCAATATTGATCCAAAGAATACACCATGCAGACACGGCTGCTTGCGTTCAAAGTCATGTGGATTTACACAAACAAAATTTAGATCACTTACAAATGACGAACGAAGTTTCATGGTAAATAAACATAATGCGTTAAGAGATGAAACAGTGCGTGGGTCACACATGCTATTTGTTGCAATGACAATGAAACCAATGAAAATTGTTAGCTACGATAAGGAGTGTGAATTTCTTGCCGGATGTCACATGAAGCAGTGCAAATTCACAAACGACAAGGTACGTATTTCTCTCGACGATGGAGCAATGGGTCAAATTATGTATAGGAGGATGGTAAAGGACGATGAAACTGATAAATTGGACGTGAATTTTCTTTCGGAAGCTTTCGATATGTGGATAAAAAAAAAGAAGCCGAAACATGTGGAGATTGCTGGAAACATTTTTCAATTAGCATGGGTTCACACCACGCGTGTTGGATGCGCTATGATGTACTATAGACAAAAACCCGATAAATATTATTACAGTGTTATATGCAATTACAAACCGGAACTTCCAATAGATAAGAATCTTTCGTACGAACTTAGATATCACGTTTGCACAAAACGTAATAAACAATACAAAAAACTTTGTGGATTTGTTAGACCGCTGGAAGACGATGATTTCACTCCACCACTTAGGCTGGACACTGGTTTCGCAAGTCTTCCTATCTATCAGCTTGTTGCCATATGCTCTAGTGCGATCATTGTTCTCAATTTAATTTAAACTATAAATTGTATAAATTTCACCATTTAAAATACATATCAACGTAAGAAATGTCAGTTGAAAAAAAAATGAAATGACACCATATGTACATTTATTACTACTATTAATTGGTCTATTTTTCAACACAAATAGTGAAGATAAAATCAAAGTTTATTGTAAATATAATGCGTATAGTCCCAAAACTAAATGTATTCGATCTAATGATTGCGGTGATACTTACGATCGTTTTCGAGTACTAAATGATGATGTTCGACATCACATTGAAATGCTTCATAACGGATATAGAGAAAACATATCTGTGGATGCTCTCTTTCCTATACCGAAGGCAATTAATTTGGGTTTAATAAGTTATGATTTGGAAGCAGAATTTTTGGCTGGTTGCCATATTAAGTCGTGCCAATTAAATCATGATTCTACACGTCTCACTTTAAGTGGAAAAAAGGTGGGTCAGTTATATTATGATAAGTATAGTAAAAGAATACATCTTATAGATCCAAAAATAGTCAATGAAGCGTTCAATGCATGGAAAACCCACTTGATAAAGTACACTTGGCACACTGGAAATTCTACTTATGGTGATCTTATACAATTAGTGTCTAATGTTACAAAATACGTGGGCTGTTCGATAATCCATATAAAACATATACGTTTTGAACATATATACAGAGTTTAAGAATTATTAAGACAACATTTTTACAGGTTTATCTCCAATTACAAACTCTAGTAAAGAAACTTTCAAAATACTCATATATACAATTTGTACTATCCGTAGTAAACGGTATAAAATACTTTGTGAATGTGTTATTGGATCGAAAGAAGATGATTTCGCTCCATTCATTGAACACTGATTTTGTATATGTTCGTATCTAATACTCTTGTTTCTAATACCTTTTCTATTATCAAATTACTTTAATTCCAATCAGTACTAGTTTGATTTTTAAAAATACATATACATCTACTTTCTAGATCAAAGGCATACAATTTGGGGTGTAATAAGTTATGATTTGGAAGCAGATTTCTTAGCTGGTTGTTATGCTAAGATCTGTACCTTAAAATATGGTTCTACACGTTTGTCTTCAAGAGGCATACGATTGTGTCAAATAAAATATAACAAGTAGAGTCCAAGAATGCATATTATAAACCCAAAGAAACTGATGCATGGAAAAAGCATATTTTGTAATTATATTCCGTTTGTACCAATGATTAAATATTACCTCTACTTAACAAATATTTCTGCAGAGATGCAAAAAATACTAATTCTGACTATTTACATCTTTGTGGTAATCACTGATGAATTTAATTTCCTCTGTTATATTTTATAATAATGTATTTATCTATATCATAGGTGTGTTAATATATGTTTTCTTTTAATATATAATGCTAGTGAATTTAAAAATAAAATGTTGACCTATATGAAGTGTCAATTATATAATTTTATGTCAGTTACGTCTAATTTAATAACCCCCCAACATTCAAGAAATATTATGGAAATTCAAAAGTATTTGTCACTGTGTGGTGTTAATTAATTTGTTATGATTCATCTCCGTTATCCAGAAAACACCTGGATGAATAGAATACATTCGGTTGTGTTCGGTCTCTAACTTGTGGAGTTATGAAGAGCAGATTTCATAGGTTGACTGAAAAGGAAAGAACTATATATTGGATTATAGAAACCATGTTGAGGAAGCAGTATACTATCAAGAAATGTTGAAAAAATGTCCGCAAGCTAAGAATATGCACGTACTGAATTATGACAAAGAATGCGAGTTTTTCGCTGATGATTTCAGTCCTCCACTTAGATTTGACACTGGTTTCGCATGTCTTCCTAACTATGAACTTGTTGCCAAATGCGATCATTGTTCTCAATTTAATTTAAACAACAAACTGTATAAATTTCATCATTTAAAATACATATCAACGTAGGAAATGTCAGTTGAACATCAAATGGCAAAATATGTACATTTATTATTACTATTAATTGGTTTAATCATCAGCACATGTACTGGAGATAAACTCAAAGTTTACTGTAAATACAGTACGGATAATACTCCATGTAAGACTAAATGTATTCGATCTAACGATTGCGGTGATACTTACGATCGTTTTCGAGTACTAAATGATGATATTCGATATCACATTGAAATGATTCACAACGATTACAGAGAACAAATATCTGAGAATGCTGTTTTTCCTATACCGAAGGCAATTAATTTGGGACTAATAAGTTACGATTTGGAAGCAGAATTTTTGGCTGGTTGCCATATTAAGTCGTGCCAATTAAATCATGATTCAACACGTCTCACTTTAAGTGGAAAAAAGATGGGTCAGATATTTTATGATAAGTACACTCCAAGAACACATCTTATAGATCCAAAAATAATGGAAGAAGCGTTCGATGCATGGACGAGCCAATTGATAAAGTACACTTGGAACAGTGGAAATTCTACTTATGGTGATCTTATACAATTAGTGTCTAATATTACAAAATACGTGGGCTGTGCGATAATCCATATTAAACCTACAGGTGTTGAGCATATATACAGAGTAGTATGTAATTATATTCCGTATCAAAGAATGAGTAATAAAGTCCCTTTTACAACGATTCTTGAAAATAAAAAGCAATGCAATGATACTAATGCAGATTTCCCACATCTATGTGGAAAGACTAGACCTTACGAGGAAGATAAATTTATTGCACCGATTAATTTAAATTCTGCCAATATATATAATAACGTGATTGTTTGTATCATTTGTATGTTAATATATATGTTTTTAATGTACAATCCAAATAAATGAAAAAAAAAAGAGTTTTATTCCATATGAATTATAAGTAATGTAATCTTATAGACATGTCCAATTTAAAAACTATAGAATTTAAGAATTATTAAGACAACATTTTTACAGGTTCATCTGCAATTAGAAACCGGAATTTCTAGTCAAAAAACTTTCATAAAAACTATCAAATTTTTACTATCCGTAGTAAACGGTATAAGATACTTTGTGAATGTGTTCTTTGATTGGATGAAGATGATTTCACTACATTCATTGAACACTGATTTTGTATATGTTCTTATCTATACTCTTCTATGAGCACTACCTTGAGTGATTAAAAATAATCAAAAATGGAGATTTTGATGTGATAAATGAGGAACGTGGAAGATCACCGAAAAAGTTTGAGGATAGCAATTTGCAAGCATAAATGGATGATGATGACGCTCAAATGCAACAATAACTCCTGCATCAATTAAATGTGACACGAGAAGCCGTCTCCACGAGAAAGCTATGGGAAAGATCCAGAAGACGGGAAAAAACACAAGCAGGAAAACCGAAAAACCACTTGCGAAATGCTGCTCGCAGAAAGTCATATCTCAATCGAATTGTGACTGGCGATGGATATATTTTGAGAATTCTAAGCGTAAAAGATGGGTAACTCTAGTCGAGCCATCGACATCGTCTGCAAGGCCAAATTGCTAAGGACGGAAGACAATGCTCTGTGTTTGGTGGGATCAGAAGAGTGTGTTCTATTATGAGCTGCTAAAATATGACGAAACCATTAATACTGAACACTACCGACAAGAAATGATCGATTTGAATCAAGTTTTGTGTTGAAACTCAGAATATCAAAAAAGGCAACAGGAAGTGATTTTGCTTCATGGTAATACACCATCACACACAGCAAAACTGGCCAAGAAAACTATTTAGGTGTTTAGTTGGTAAATACTTTCGCATGCGGCTTACTGACCAGACTTAACTCCGTCTGATTACTACTTATTTGCATCGATGGGATACGCATTTGCTGAGCACCGCTTCACTTCTTACGAAAATGATGACTGGTTTTCCTCACAAGAGCAATAGTTTTGTTGACTGGCATTCACAAATTGTCAGACATGTGGGAAAAATATATAGCTAGCGATGAGCAAAACTTCGAATAAAAAATTTTCATCATTTATAATACAATAAACGTGTATTTTTCTATAGAAATATTCCGATTTCATATTTACATACCTGGTAGACGCACAGAAACTGATGCACGGAACAAGCGTAAATGTGTAATCATATTCCGTTTGTACAAATGATTAAATATTACCACTACTTAACAAATATTTCTGCAAAGATGCAAAAAAATATTAATTCTGACTATATACATCTTTGTGATAATCACTGATGAATTTAATCTCCTTTGTTTTATATTAAGATAATGTATTTATCTATATCATAGATGTGTTAATATATGTTTTCTTTCAATATACAATCCAAGAGATTGCAAAAAAAATGTTGGCCCATATGAAGTGTCAGTTAAATAATGTTATGTCAGTTATGTCTAATTTAATAACCCCCAACATTCAAGAAATATTATGAAAATTCAAAAGTAATTGTCACTGTGTGATGCTAATTACTTTGTTCTGCTTCTTCTACATTATCCAGAAAACGGTGTTTGGTAAAATTCTGTTGAAAGATTATTGCTACCTAAATGAATTGAATACACCCTGTACATTCGGCTGTATTCGGTCTTCGACTTGTGGAGTTACGAAGAGCAGATTTCAACCGTTGACTGAACACGAAAGAGACTATATATTGGATGCTCACAACTATTATAGAAACCAAGTTGCTGAAGCAGTATATCATCAAGAAATGTTGAAAAAATTACCGCCAGCTAAGAATATGCACGTACTGAGTTATGACAAGGAATGTGAGTTTTTCGCTGGATGCTATATAGGGCAATGTATGTATACAAATGATAATGTAAGGATAGCTCTAAATGGAAATAAACTTGGACAAGCAATGTATACTATGTCTGTTGAACTGCCTTTAGATGCAGATAAATTTGTCGAAGTAATGCTTGCAGCTATGGAAAAGTGGTTCTGTGAAATTGATTACATCAAATATGTAGCTCCGAACTTTACGTTCAAAAATAAACCACTCATTCATCCTCGTGTCTCTAATATCACATACATTCTTTGGGGTACCAGTATGTATGTGGGATGCGCAAAATTTCATTCGAAAAGACAGCCAGGATTTCATGACTATTCAGTTATATGCACGTATAAAATTCCCGAACCAATATCTACAAGTTTCTATGAAGTTGGTAAACCTTTGTGCAGCATTTCGCACGTTAGATGGAAGGGATTGTGCGGTCAAATCAGACCCATAAAAGAAGATCCGTTCATATCGCCACTCGCATTTGCAGCTTCTCGTATGAATAAATACAATACAGGATTAATGCAACTAATATGTATTTATGAAATAATAAATGTTATTGGATAATAAGACTTTTAAATTGATTCAAGTAACATCAGACATGATTATGTATTTACATTTAATACAATCTAGTGTAATATCATAAATCAATTTAAAACTTTTATTAAAATAATTGTTATATATTAAGCTTAAATACTTGCAAAATTAATTGTTTCATTCAAAACAGCGACTTAATTATTATAATGAATATGTTTAAATAGTATAAGTACATCTGAGGGGGTACAATTAGACGGTGTGACTTAGAATTATATTTACTTGTATCTAGAGGTGAAATATAAGTGTCTTCATTGAATGATCTTGAAGAACCGCACAATTTATTATATTGTGTTGATATTGTGTGACATTTCATTTGTCCAGGTTCGTACATAGGAGGTTCAATCAATGCAGGTATCTTGTATGCGCACATCATAGCATAATCAAAATAGCCCTTCCTGCGTTTCGAAACTACTTTTGCGCAGCCCACGTACACAGCTTTTGCCCATAGAAACACTGTTGCCCGATTCTGCACGACTCCTGGACGTGTAACTTGCACATTATTCACCATAAAATTTTGTGCTGTTTTCCGATACTCGAGTTTAGCTAAATCGGTCATCATTTCTCTAAAACCGTCATTAAAAAAATAATCGTAATCTTCATTCGACATTTTTTTTTGTTGCGAAACATGGTACATTGTATTACTGAGTACAGAACCATCAAGTGCAATCATTTTGCCTGGATCCGAGTTCTTGCATTGTATAACGTTGCAAGCGGCAAAGAACTCGCATTCGTTATCATAGCTGAGAATGTGCATGTTAGCGGCTGGTGGTAGAATTTTGTACGATCCATTGGCAACGTAGTTTCTGATTTCGTTGTGCATATCCAGAACATCCCGTTGTTCGTTCTCGTTTAACGTTTTGTAGGGATGAATTATAGAACCGCACCTTCCTGACAACTTGCAACCGGTAACACATGGACTATTTTGATCGCTATTCGTACAATAGTCTTTGATGGTCACTCTACACAAATTTAAAGAAATCTTGAAGAAAAACACGATGAACACTTTCCATACCATCATAAAAAAGTAACATTGAACATTCTCTTCGCTTTCTTTATTAACTAAAATGTGGAAATTCGGAGATTAAAATTTATTGGATAAATTAAATAAAAACTGTGATTGACAAAGTCAGTGTCAATCCCAGCATCAAAAATATTAGTATTTACTGAAGATGCAAGGATTATATGGAGTAGACTTTCGTTTACTCGTCAAAATGTTCAAGAAAAACTTAAATTTATCTGTGATTGTGTAAATTTATTCAGGCTTGTATTACTGCAATTCTTTATATATTAAAAAGTATATGCGCAACATGTAAGAAATTAAGCTTATACATTAAATACATCTATGTCAATTTTCTGCTTTTTTATAATAGTAGATTCACAATAATAACTACAATTATCAAAAGTCTGTAAATGCCTAGTAAATCAAAGCTGTGGATTTTAGAATTTGTGAAAGAACCTTTGTCTATGGGTGATACATAAGTATCTAGATCAGATATTCTTAATAAGCCACACAATCTGTTGTAATGCTTTGATACAGTGTGGCAATTGGGATAACCAATCTCGTACATAGGAGGTTCGATTAGACCAGGTATCCTGTACACGCAATACATGATGTAATCGAAAGTACTTTTTATACGTTTGGAAAGCATTTTTGCGCAACCTACGTAAAGCGATTTAGCCCAGAGGATGATCGTTGCTCTGTTCATCTTTGTTCCTGGATGTGTCACGTTAACGTCTTTTACTGTGAAGGTCTTTCTTTTTCTTCCATACTCTATGTCGACCGCATCGTCCATTGATTTCTTTATACCATTTACAATTAAGTTATTGTAGTCATCCTGCATCATTTGTTTTGCTACAGTAGTCTCATAAGATAAGTGATAAAGTTCGGTGCCATCCAAAGCAATCATCTTGATATTACTCGTAGAGTTACACTGTACCATGCTGCAAGCGGCAAAGAATTCGCATTCCTTATCATAACTTAGGATATGCATGTTGCTGGCAGGAGGAAAAATTGCTGTATGGTTGTTATAGAATCCATTCGCAATATAGTTTCTGATGTTGTTGTGAACAACTATAATTTGATCTTGTTCTTTTTGATTTAAAGTGGGGGAAGATTTAACAATTGTACCGCACTTTGAAGATACTGTACATCCAGTAGCACACGGACTATTAGTTTCTTGAATAGAACAATAATCTCTGAGTGTCACTCTGCATAAATATAAAGAACACTCGATGAGAACAATGAATAGGACTTTCCACATAATTTCAAACGTCAAAAATGACTGAAGTGAACTTTGATGTAATATAATGCTTACAATTTTTATGTTTCAACATCTCCATTGTTCCTTTAGATTCGTTTAACACTATATGTATATGATTACGCTGAAAGAAATTGACATTAAAATCCAGTGTGTCAAAATCAGTTGTTGTCAAAGTAAGTGTCAATGGGTAAAGATTATTACGCAATTTTGGGAGTCTCCCGAAATGCAAGCGATGAGGAGATTAAAAAGGCTTATAGGAAATTAGCATTGAAATATCATCCGGACAAAAATAAGTCACCAGGTGCCGATGAAAAGTTTAAAGAAGTAGCCGAAGCTTATGAAGTTCTATCGGATAAAAAGAAGAAGGACATGTATGATTCGTATGGTGAGAATGGACTGAAAGGTGGAATTCCTGGAGAAGCTGGCAATTTTTCGTACACTTTTCATGGAGATCCTAGAGCCACATTCGCGCAATTCTTCGGCAATTCCAGTCCCTTCGGGAATTTTTTTGAAACATCAGCGTTTGATACCTCCGACGATTTTGACTTTTTATCGTTGTCGTCGCCGTTTCGAAAAGGCAATAAAAGCGAACAGGATCCACCAATAGAGTATGACCTTTACGTATCGTTGGAGGAAATTGCGACTGGTTGTACTAAGAAAATGAGGATATCTAGAAAAGTTTTACAAGGTAACAGCACGGTCCAGGAAGATAAAGTGCTTACGATTAATGTGAAGCCAGGATGGAAGTCCGGGACGAAAATTACTTTCTCGCAAGAAGGCGACCAGAAGAGGAATAGGATTCCAGCTGATGTGGTTTTCATCATTAGGGATAAACCTCATGCACTGTACATTAGAGAAGGAAGTGACCTGAGGTACAACGTGAAGGTTTCTCTGAAAGAAGCTCTTTGCGGCTGCTCAATCGAAGTTCCCCTATTGGACGGTGGATTTAGGAATCTAAATCTTGGATTGGATGTTATCAAACCCAATATGATTAAAAGATTGATTGGAATGGGCTTACCGTTACCCAAAGAGCCATCTAGGAGAGGCGACATTAAAGTTATCTTTGAAGTTGTTTTTCCCTCCAACTTGAACAGCGAAACTAAACACCTACTCCACGACATCTTATAAGAATACATTTTTTTTTGATTAAATAAATTTAATAACATCAATTCTTTTTTCTATTCGTTATTTACCATTATGTTTTGGTTATACAACGATCGCAGACAATGGGACGCGTTTACCTGATCGTGCGCGTCTTCTGTTTGCTTCTAGTGTTATGCAAGAATATTGGGCCATACGGCCTTGACTTAGTAAATGTGATTTAACGAACCACAGGGCCGATAATGAACAAACGCCGCGCGTTCGTCGCACGAAGAACAGTCGCGTTTCTTAGTGCATTTAACGGTAGATCAAGACGCACGCCCACATATATATTTTTTTGAACGCAGAAGCATAGAAGTGCATGTGTTGTGATTTACATACAAAAGGATCTTCATTGGATATCGCTACATAAATTAACAGTAAGTTGCATTCTATGTTATTTAATTAAATACAAATTCTTCTCTTCTAAATATTTCTAAATAATCAATCTTTTACACACGTTGATTATAATTATTACTAATAATAAAAAATAGAATTTTATATACATTTCGACATACAAATTACGAATCTTGAGATTAAATATTATGAAGAGTCTTTAAATATAGAAATTTATTGATTAAGAACTTTAGTTTTTTGTTGTAGTAATAATTGCATAATATTGTTATTTTACAAAACCAATATTAAAACACGAATAATATTTCTTATTAAACCATGAATAATAATTTTATATAGAAGTAACAGAATAATAATAATATTTCATGTTGTTATTTATTTTCGGAAATAATTTAATTAGATTTTAAAGGCATTTTATGGAAATAAAAATTTATTCTTATTATTTACGAAAGTTTGATCTTTATTTCATTTATAAGTTTTCAAGTCAGGTGCATGTTTTAGATATAATAATTTGCAATTGTAATTTTGAATACACCGTGTATTGAGTTTTCTCTTTTATTTTGGTCATTTACGTGAGTGAAATGGGATTCTTCTAATTTTTTTCCGTAATTTAAAATAAAAGTTATTTTCTCTTCAATATATTATATATATAATTATTTATTAAATTATATTCGTAATAATTTAATATTATTAATTTATGTACAAAATTTTATTAGTTTTTAATTAATTAATTTTATGACAATTATGGAACAACTTAAGTACAAGAGCAGAAGTAGAAAAACATTGAACTGTAAATTAAGGAAATTCCAACTTTTACTTTTCATATTGAGACTATTATATTTCTTGTTACGGTTTGAATAAATGTAACCTAAATATGACCGCTCATAATTATTTTTAACATTGAAAGATGTTTATTTGAAATACATATCAAAAAAACCCACGACCTTCAGATGAAATTCTCTTGGATCCGCTAAAATTTAGATTCACTATTCAATGATAATTATGTAAAAATAAATAGTCTTACAGTTCGGGATATACCCAACGTTGATGCGACCTCGCAGACGTGTTAATCGTTGCAAGAAAGCTTGAAGCCATTTCTGGTATTCGGTTTCATTCACGAAAAAAAAGCAACTCATATCTGTAGCCTCCAAATACAAACATAACATACGCCTATTAAGTAATCTGCAAAACGTTCTGACTCAAAACTATTACGACATGTATGCTGTATGTTGTAATATGTAGTTTTGAAAAACTTTTTGGTGTTTCCAATGTTCCTTCTCGAATTTATGACATGAGAATGAGAGAAAACTGAAATTTACATACATATATGAAATTTTGTATACTTTAATATAAATTATTTGTAATACATTTTTTAAAAGTATATTAACTAATTAATAATATACTAATAAAAATTCAAGTACAGCAATATTTCGCATAGTCTGAGTATTGTGCTTCACTAATATTTTTTTAATAATTTACATTTAGTTTGATAACATTTTTAAATAAATATATGGAAGTCATATGTAAAAAAATATCGATATTTCTACTAAATATTTAACTGAATGTTTTTCTTCGTTTTGCCCGTTTAAGCTGTTATTTTGTAATTTGTATGAAGTAGTGTTTTACGTATTCTGTCTATTTATTATAAAGTTCTAGGAAATATAAATAAATAATAATCAATTAAAAATATAGCATTTACATTCATACTTTGACCTTCATTAATAAATTGCTTACTTTTCTTTTCATTGAAAATGCATATAAAATCATGTGAATTATATAAGTATAGTTAATATTTATGATTGCAAGAAATTATTTCACTTCTACTAGAATGTTAATCTGCAATCACCCATCTACATGATTAACTTTCATAATTTGTGAAACAATAACTATCCAAAACTTATTCTCTAAACAGACTATACGTTCATACACAACTCGTTTAATAAATAAGATGCGTTCCACGAAATTAATTTCTTAAATGAAATTTCATTTTCAAAGGAAAATATGGAATGTCAAAAAAAAATAGCTTTTTAGAACAAAATTTTATTAAACAAACAGTCCACTTACATACAAAGTGAAATCACTTTTTAATAAATAAGTCTAAAGTTGAGTGTTTGTGTCCTTTTCTCTTTTATTTAACTTATTTGCATTTAACACTGACAGCTTAACAATAACACTTTCCTAAGTCAGTATTTTCATTTAAAAAATATCATTTAAGCATCTTTTTCAATAAATATTTTTTCATTTGTGATTTTCTTTATCTTTATTGCTAACAAGATCTTCTGAATTCAATAAATTTATAACATTAATTATTTTTCCAAAGTTCTTCGGATAGACTAATTTAATGCAACTCATAAGTTTCTTAAATTGGATCTTACTTACGTAAGTTCAAAACCGTGTTGTCAGTTATATCACAAACTATTAATAGAAACTGGTAATTGCAGATTATTAAAGGAAGGATATAATTAAATGGTTTTAATGGATGTGTGCTTATGCGGATATGGAAAAAATATATAACCAGACCTTAATATGAAATCAATAATAAAATAAGTTATTAAGAAATTTTAGTTTAATTACTTGCAAAAACTCAAAAATAGATCTAAGTAGAATTATTATTAATAGATTTTTTTAATTCATACTCTTACATAAATGTTCTAATTTTTATATAATCTTATATATAAATTGGGGCGACTATTAGCCGGATGGTTAAGTCGACCTACCCACGAGCTAGTGGGCGCAGGTTCAAATCCTGGTAAAGCCAGGCCCTTTGTGAGCCCTCTCGGTGCTTGCAGCAATAGGGCCATCGTTCATCACAGATGGAGAGTGAAATTAATGAGGTTCAGCATATGGACCTTTAGCCAAGTTGATGGATAATGATAGTGTTAAGGAAATAGTGAAATCGCAGAGCATCAATATACTACTGAAGTTAACCTACAAGACAACAACTAATCTACAAATTAAAAAAATCATCATAATGGCTACTATCCAGCGGGAAAGATTGTCAACCGCGATCTTAAATTTACTCAATGTTCACACTGATGAACAGATTGTGAATAAAATTACACTACATAAAAAAAATATAAATTGAATTTATAAATTAAACAAATGATTGTTTAAATTATGAAATAATGAGCATATTAACTGAAATGTACTTTTAATTACAATTATATATTAAAATGAACATTAGAAGACTTATTTGAGCAACGCATGATTATTCAACAAAAGGATTTGTAATTAAATACGAGACTAATGACTGAATGAATAGCGAGTTTAGGTTGTAGCTTAAAACGATTTGGGGTTGTTTCACAAATATGAAAATTACGACGATGTTGTAATTTTTAGTTACGCAAAGCGTTCTTGTTATTTGACTTCGGTATGTGTAAGCCAGGAATGGACTCTCGGATGATGTCCGCAGGATTGTCATGCCTTTAATACGTTCGAAACGAGACTTGGTTCGGTTACAGAATGCCTATTACTTAACCCGTGTACAAGTGAGAGTGGCCGGCCGGTTCTGCGGCATTACGGCACATAACTTACCACTCGACTCAGACGGAATGGATTAAACGAGTGTAGAGGATGCACTTGGACATTCGCCTCTTCGTCAGCGTATTTTCCAATTGCATAAGATTTTCCTCCGGCGCGAAAGACAGTTAAACCGAACATATACTTTCATCAGCAATGTGCGAAATATCACACACGTAATACATACAGAAAAATATAAAAATATAGCAGTGAATTGTGCTTCAGTTTGTACTTCGATCTCAAGGATATTTCAATGTGATCGTAAACCGATCGCAAGTTGATTATTCCAAGGGCTTTGGTGATTGTGCGCGTTTCATAATCATTTTAATAAGTGCATTTCTTGTGTTAATGAGTGAGCTAAATCGACGAGACGTGTAAGTTTTGCTATATTATATTATAAAGGAGAGAAAAGCAAGAAACAAAACGTGACTTGTAGACATTAACAATGTGCATGTAAATTAAATACGCTTTGGAAAATGCTATTTGAATATTTGAAAGGGAATTAAGAAAAGTATAGAAATTCTTTGTGTTTATTGTTTTCAGTTGTTTCTTGCTTTTAAATTATAGATCGCAAGTGAAACTGTTGTACTGAGAGTTTAGTTATTGATTGGTTCTAGTATGCCGTGACTGTATGTTTGTTTTGTAACGAAAGTGAAATTTACCGTGTAATATGTCAACAATTGCATGAGAATTTTCTTTGGAAATCTAAAAATTATTATAATTTCTTTAAACTTTTCATATATTTAAAATCTGCAGTACTGTATGTTTTATATATAAGTAATAAATGTAATGTTAGAAAAGATCAGTCGATATTGATTTACTTCAAATATTTGTAACAAATTGAAAATTCAGTATTTTGAGTCACTTAATAAATATTTTTTAATATTTTAATGGAATTATACATTTTACTCTTTATAAATAAATTAATTAATTACATAACTATAACATGTTTATAAAAACATGTGACCACAACTTATAATAAATTCAATGAATTTATTGCGATTTATTTATATGCTACAAGATTTAGTTGCAATTATAAATACATTCTAAAACAGGTTAATAAACTTAGGAAAAGTAATTTAGTATAGGGAATATTAATTTACTGTTCGAAAGGAGAAATTTAAAGATATGATTATTTAAAATCAAAATATGTAGTGTACATTTTATACATCGAAATTTATAAAAAAAAAACAGATTAATAGAATAGTAGACCTATGATCAGTAGGTTTTTGCAACAATTCTATTTAGTTTTATTTTTTTATGTTATTTTGTTAAATTTGGTTATTGCAATAAATATTATTAATATTTATTTATTATTTTTAATTGAGGATTCCTGTTGCTAGATTATTGTAATTGTAGTTCAGTCACTCATTAAAGAATATTAGTGTTTTTCACCATTAAACCAATTTATTATAAATTTTAGATTAATTCATGATATTTATGAAACTTTGCATACAATATTCCCAATTTAAAATAAGAAATAAATATTAATAATATTTATTGCTATAACCAAATGTATCATAAATTTGTAATATTTAAATTATATATTAATTAAGTCTGATCTTGTACACAAATTAGTTCAAGGTAAAATTTTGCAAGATTTTTTTTATCTATTAATTATTAAAAATTTGCATTTTTTTTATAAAACTTTGTTACATATGTGCAAGCTCGGTGGCAATCGCAAGCCCGATAACCAAAATCCCGACGTTCGAAATCCCGACTATATCGAATTAATACTATTATATATTTCTACAATAAATTTTTTATGGTAGTCGGGATTTTGATTGTCGGGATTATGGTAGTCGGGATTTTGACATAGCCGGGATTATGGTTTTGAGATAGTCGGGACTTTAATACAGTCGGGATTTCGAACGACGGGATTTCGATGCAGTCGGGATTTCGAACGTCGGGATTTCAATAGATGGTCTTTGGGTTGTTGGGCTTGCGATATAGACCCGTGCAAGCTATTTATCATAAAAGTTTCAATAAATATAAAATAGTTCACATATGTAAATTGTAGTGAAAAGTTTCGTGTTTTCGTAGTCAGCAAAATAACTAACCCAAAAAAATGTAGTCAGCTGTCGAACGGCATGAGAAAATATTTTGAAAGAAGGAAAACCGCACTTTTAACATACGTGGAATGCATAAATATTATAAATCAGATTATTTACATACAGATTAATGAATATTAATGTATTGTTCTACTTTTTATACAAGTTTTCTGAAGCATCAAACAGTTGTTAAATCGAATGCGATGTTCTGAATATTTATGTATAAATTATTAAATAGTATATTTATTTAATACATGTATGAAAATAGAGTATGTTTTTACATTTACCAATTTATAACTTAGTAAAAATTAATTATTTAAAAGCATTTCATGCAATATGTAGAAGAAAGTGTGCAAAAATTATATTTTAGTTAGTAGTAAATATACAATCATAGCATTATTATCGAAATTACTTTGTTAAGCGAAACTTAGTTTTCAGAGGTAAACTTTCTTTCGTTAAAATGAAGAAAATTTATTCAAACACGGAAAAGTTTTATTATATAAAACGTCAACTTACATACAAGGTGAAATTTTAATTTTGAAATATGAGTGTTTTGTGACACTTGTCGTTTACCAATAACATTTCTTTCTATAAGGATAATTTTCACATTTTTAATGTCATTTAAAAACCTTTTCAAATGGAGAGAAAATTTTATCTTCATATTCTTTGTTTTCGTTGTTTACATGTTTTTTTTATTCTTCTACCATCTTCTCCATACATTAAAATTCTAGCATCCTCTTTATCAACATTGTCGAAACCTATTAATTGATCAGTCGGATTGTTAGTTGGTCTTAAATTGGAATCTTTTTTATGTTAAGTAAATTTTTAAATTTTTTACGTTATCAGAGGAAACGTTAACCGAGGTATGACTGAACTTGGATATAGTTGTTATTTTAACTTTATATAAGATCTATATTTCCTTTAATATCATTCACCTACTGGAACAATTAGTCAACCCTTTAATAACGCGATTTATTGAAACCGCATTATGGACGTGTTCATTGTACATTATTTTAAAAAGAACAGCAACATTTAAAAATTAGTAATATTTTTTTTTCTGTATCAAAATTATTATAAATAAAACTGAACATTACATAATTATTATTACCTGCACTATTGAAAGGTCTAATAAAATAAAAATATAAATATATTTTTTACATGTATTATGGATTCTTTACAAGCTTTAATTACTCAAATAAAAAAAAAGTCTCACGAGTAATCAGCAACAAAGAAACGAGGAGAAAATCTATGTGAAAAAATCTGTAACTCGAACGAGAGCAATTTAAATTAATTTGCAGTTAATTAGGAGCAGGAAAATTAATATATGAAAACAAAAAAGAAATTTTCATGTTGGAGTAAGTAAAACGCACCGTAATTGATTTTTATTTTCGCGCGCTAATTAGTGGCCGCATCAAACGTAAAATCATTAGGACTAATTGGATCACGTTTTTATGCAAACTATTATTAATTAATTTACTTCATTAAATGACTCTAGAAAACACAAACGTATGGTTTTACTTTTCACGTTGTTGTAATTACTGTTTATGTATGAGTTGTATTTCATATAGAAATTTTTGATTATATAGACTCTATATTATAGAGTGTCCCAGGAAGAGAGGAAAATCTAAATTTGAAATAAAACACTAATAGTTCACTTGTTGTTGTACCAACAATGCCGAGGAGGTAATTTATCAGATGTATTGTTCCATGCAAAATTCCACATGTCTGCTATAGCAGTGCTCCGCAACCGATGTGTCATGAGCCGATACATTATTCTAACTAAATAATTTTTCAACGGTCCAATAAAATCTGATAATGCAATTTACACATCGAAAAGCATTGATGGTCAAGAATTTACCAGAAGATCTTTTCAACACGATAAATGAATTCATTAAAATCATAAACATAATTTGCCTAAATTCGGAATACTCTGTGCAGAAATGGGAGTCGAATATTAATCCTTATTGTTTTATACTGAAGTACGTTGGCTATCCCGAGTGAACCAAACTGGAATGCGAATTCCATTTTATGCTCGTAATGGGAATTACTCGTTATATAAGATGCTTAAGTAAGGTTCCACTGTATTTGTTTGTAAATGTACTGAGATCCAATTTCTAACAGTTTTTCCCCAATTATTTCATTTAACATATGGTGACAGCTGTCGTTTCGTAACCAAATCAAACTTGGGTGACCTACAGGTTCAGAATCACTGCTTTAAAAGGTTATTCGGTGTTATTTGTAGTTTGACAACTCAACAGTATCCTTATATAATATTTTATATACTAAATATAAATTATTATCGGATATTCTTAATTTTATACTTCCTGCGCTGGTAAATTATAAAGTTTATTGTTTGAAATGGACTACTTGATTTTGTTAAATAAATGTGTCACCAATTGATATGATTTTTTTGTGGAAAAAAAAAATACAATCTGTATATAATGCATTTGCTAAACTAAATCGGATTTTTCTTTAAGTACATTTTATTCAATGATAATGAATTAGATTCATCATTTAGTACAGTGATGGTGAACCTTTCCTAAAACAATACAAAGAATTGATTGAAATATTCATTTTAATTTTATATTTACCTATATAAGTCGCCCTTACCCACGGTTTTGCCGATCTCGGTGCTTGCAGCAATAGCGCCATCGTTCATCAAAGATGAAGGTCAAATATGGACCTTCAGCCAAGTCGATGGACAATGACAGTGTTAAGGATAGCAGCAGAATCACAATCAAAGGAAATAGTGCAATCGCAGAGCATCAATATACTACTGAAGTTAACAAGACAACATCCAACCATCAAATTAAAAAATCAAATCATCATAATGGTAACTATCCATCGGGAAAGATTACCTACCTAATGTCTACCGCGATCTTAAATTTTTTCAATGTTCACATTGCTGAACAGATTGTGAATTAAATTATTACGAAATAAAACAAAAATTTATCAATATTTCAGTTTTTATTTGAAGTTTATCATTTCATCTTATTTTGATTGGATTCGATACGTGTGAATCCTATCTTATATGACGCACAATACAAAAATAAAAGAGATCAGTGCATATTGTTGATATTCTCAAATTCCTTACAATTATTTTCGTGTAAGTTATTAGTAGCGTAATAAAAATATTAATATTAAGTATAATTAATTACATACATAAAAATATTATGCTACTTGTTTGCATTAATTAATATATTAACTTTTTGAACTCTATTTATTTTCAAAGTTGTTATTAGACAACGTGTATTTATTTAAAGATAAATTAATTAAAATATTGTTCAATGGTTAAATAAAAACAACCGACTGAGAAACATGGCTAAACACCAAATTTGTAATGTCATACAAAGGGTTAAAAAGAGTAAATAATATTCTTAATAAATTTATATTAAAAATAAATGTTTCCATTTGACATCCGTTTAGTACGCCCATATTTGTCTTGCATAAAGCATATGTTGATTTTATTGAACTTTCATTTCTGGGATTTTCATACGTACGGCAATGTGCAATTCGTTTCCGATATATTCAAGCGCGGTTTCGCGAAAGTTCAACGTGAGCAACGAACAAGCAAAACAAGAAAGGGACACGCGCTGGACGATTACGTGTGTCCGAACTGTGTGTACGCAGTCGATTACGTCGTTATGTAACCTGTTGGCAGTTGGGCAATAGAGCGATGGAATGCGAACACCTCGATATTAATGTATATTATCTACGGATCATAGAAATCGAATTTGATACACAGCCTCAAACTCACAAAACGAAATAAAAAACATGTTAAGAAAAGAAATAGAGGAAACCGCCTTCGGCTGCAGTTCTTTCAAGCACGTGTGCTTTTTTTTTGTTTATAAAATAAAAGTAAAAGGATTTAATAAGAGTAGTAAAATAACATTAATTTAAAGAATATTCTTAAATTTTATTTTGGTATTCACATTTATATTAATAATAATTAAAAATGTAATAATTATGTTAATATATTATTTTTATCGCATTAATAAAATGTTAATTAATATTTTTTGACATTTTAAATTTCATAAATATAGAGGTACAAATAAAATATTCCATTGCTTTGTGTTAAAATTTTCGGTGTATATTTGTAATTCTTTTAAATCCTTCAGAATGTTCTTAATTAGTTCAAGGACGTTAGAGAACTTTCTCTCCAGGAACTTCATCCTTGTCAAAAGTAATCTCAATTAATGTGAGATCTTCCTTTTGAAAGTCAAATGGATTCATAATAACATTGGAATGCACATTCCAATCAAGTTATGAAGAAGATGTGATTTTTTAAATATCTTCAACATTATATAACAATTGGGTAAAATATATAAAGCAATATCTTACATAGTGCGGGTTCTGCCAATTTCGGATTATTTGAGGAAAAAACAAATAAAAATAAAATACACAAGACTTTACAGGAAAAAAACTATCATTGTACAAAATACTATGTATAAAATACTTTTGTGTACTATTTTCTTAGAATTAATTTTTATTTTTTTCAATTAAAATTTAGTTTGTTTTCAAACCGTACTGAAGTTAATCCACATTGAATGAAGCCGTACTATGCGAGGTATTGTATTACGTGACATCTCGGCGACTAACACTTTAAAATAAAATTTTAACATATTCGCCTATGATAATAACAATAATTTATTAACCAAATAATAGAACATAACATATATTTGATATATATAAAAAAAACAAATTTTCTATAAAAAAATTGAAAATAAATCAAAAATGAAGAATCTTTACATATTTTGTGTTTTTATGGAAATTTTATAAATATTTTCATTTTATTTTTTTTCTATACATCAAATTTATGTTTTGTGTTATTATATGGCTAAACAATTATTGTTATTGTGTCAGTCGCCGAGTTGACCGTCGCCCAGTTGTCGCGTACCCTGTTGTATTACATATTATAAATTATCATGTTTCTATCTACTATTTTATTGTAAGATTATATAATTATGAATCGACGTAAAGTTATATTGTGATAGAAATGTTGTACGTCATAAATTATAATTTTCAATATATTCCTCAGTCAGATTCAACATTATATGATGAAATTGAACTTCTTGTGTGACATTTTGTATATTGGAATTTTTATTGTGAAAGATTTATTTTATAAGTAAATGATTGCATTGTGATTTTTTTTTCTATTTTTTATTTGATATGAATTTCTAATACTTGTCCATATGTTTTAAGTATGATATATATTTAAATTAAGAAAAATTAATTCGAAGAAATTTAATCAAATATTTTTAGACTTAGATTATTCAATTATAAGTGTTTTATTTAATTTGTTAAGAAATAATTCATTACTGAATTAAGGAAAAATATGTAGAAAATAATAAAATTAAGTGGAAACTTTATTGTAATTATGTTTTTTTTTTGTAAATATGTTGTTTATAAATTATAATTTATAATTCAAGAGAAGTTTATCATATTATATATAATATGTAGGCGTTAAGATCGGATGTTTAAATTACGAATCTGCTTTCCCGGAATGAAATCGTAACGAACGCGAAGTTCCTGGGGACTTCAATAATATGAAATGCACTCGCAATAATATTCATTAAATAAATCGACTTATTGTTTTCATTTCTAGAAAGTTTCCGTCGTCTCTTTTTTTTATAGAAGTGCATATCCAAGTATAGAAGCAAACGCATTTCCAAGTAGTTTCAACGTTCGCTCAATCAATCAATAAAAGATGTTATGCAACGAGGAAAAAAAGAAAATAAAGAAATAATTTGATTGAACGAGGAAGCCTCGTTAGGGGATTGTTAGAGCCGGCTTTAAAATCCATTAAATGCTAACGTAATATTTGCGAAATTTTATAGGTTTATGCAACCTCGCGATTATTTCAAACACAATTACGTAAGCGAGATTTCAGCGAGAGTTCAATGTATTCCCAGATGCTTGTGTCTCGGACACAATTCTGTCTAGTCAATAGGCTAGAACGAATCGATTTTAACATTGGATTAGATTCGTGTGAAACATGTTACAATTAACTTGAGTGCATGTGACATTGTAAATACGTAAATATATTTGTTGCAATGTGTAATTATTGTAGCGAGGAATTTGTTACTTTACTACTTGTTGCATTGTGTTCGAGAAAAGCCATGTAATGTGCAAGGTATTAACATCTTGCAATTATCGCGGTAATAGTTGTAATTGCGCCATTTCAGTGCAACCATCGGAACGATGCTTTCATAAATTGTTTTCTCATTTTGATTAATGAATTGCTTAAATTCAAATTATATTAATTACGATGTTCTGATCGAAATCGTTACCGTATTGTATGTGAAATGGTTATTACTTAATCGGTGATTAACTGGAAATACTGGTTTCTCGCAAGAATCGAAGAGAAATCCTAAAAGAATGACGCGATTATCCTCTTCCCGAGATCTCCTGTATGTTATATAAAACAACGACGTATATAGGAAGCAAGTGAGCAAACAATCTTGCGAGGTTGTTTGTATTGCATCGTCTCTTGTACCGAATTTATCGAAGGATTTTCGAAACTGCATGCGCCTCCTCGTCCAGTCCGTGCTTTCACCCATTCATTATGGAAACATGAATTCATGCAATTTCGTTAAGTGTGTCGCAATTATGCAACTACAATTGTCAAGTAATTGAACAAAGTCATTTTCGATACTCGCATTAAAACGTCTTTGAAATTGCATTCGATCAGTTGATGTAAATTTAACGACTGAACATACATTTTCCATCGAAATCGTGTCCATGACAAGTGTACTTAACATTGACCGAGATTATTATATTCGTTTACTTTTTTGTAATAAGTTATATAAAAAATATGTTACGTAATATTGCCGTATTTGATCGGTGTACCTTGGACCGTACGAGATTGCATGGAATGCATGAAATGGATGGACGAACTGAAACGGAGTTGCGAAATTTTCGTATTATTCAATTGGAAACCATCAGGAAATATTTCTATTAGTGGTTTATGTTATTGTTTGTTTTGTTAAGGAGCTGCTTCAACGATCGCATGGTTAACCATGTCAAAATTTGCATTAATTATGTAAATCAGCGTTCGGAGTTATTCAAGTTATGACATCTAGTTTAAAAATAATATTCTATATTTGTAAGTTCCTACAGATGATGATAATATTACTAATGTTATTTTCTTTTTCAGGATATGCATCGGCGGATTCTCAAAAGGACAATACTGTTCCTTCTCATCACAACTTTTGTTGCCTTTACGCTGCAAATTAATGATGACAATGTTAAAGATGAGGTATTGTATAGGGTTTATACAAAAACCGGTTTTAGAATTTCAGCTGGTCTACAAAACCCGTTTTAAAGCGGTTTTCGAATTTTCCCAAAAATATTTATTTCTTTTTATTTAACTTTATCAAAATTAAAAAAATATAAGAAAATAATAACTCACAAAACAAAACTTACATAAAACTATAACAAAACAAAATTTACTACATAGAAAACCATACAGATTAACAAATAAAGTAGTAATTTATCGATAACGACTATAAAATATTATTTTATTTCTTATTTTTGCTCAGAAAATGTGATTTTAAAAAAGATGTTATGTCTATAGACCTATTGCTCAAATAGGGTGGAAAAATGTCACTTAACCCTTTGAAGGGTCAGAAATTCCTAAATTTCCAAACCCAAGAAATTTCTAGACAACTGAATCAACATCGTACCTCATACCTTGACATATGAATTCCTTTTTCCTGAAATAGTTAACTACGTTTTGGCCACCCCTGATATACAGAATAGAAAAAAAAACAATAGTTGGTAATATGTTATAACAAATACGTAATGCAATTTAAACATTTTGCTTTTTCGATGTAATAAAGTAAATGAGTACTTGATTTTCTTTTTTTTCAAAAATATTTTGAATATGTTGCAACCAATTAATTAAGTGATTAAGGTAAATTTTATAGAAAATCTGATAAATTAATAATTTTCACAAAATGATTTTTTTGTGATCAATGTTATTTTGTCAACAAAATTATAAAATACATTAGAACTTACTAGTCGATCAACAATTGAAAAAGAAAACAATTGTTAGATACTCAAATTGACCTATTTTCTTGTTTCATTTGAATTTAAAAAAGAAATATTTCGTAAATACTGAATATTGTTTCTATGAATGCAATTATTTGCATGTTGAATAGTTGCGACATTCACGGAATCGATTCGTCCTTCTGTAAAAGAGAACAAGCAAATTAAATATTGCTTACTATTCATTACTATCCATCCGTGAAGATTAGATTAATGGAATAATTATATAATTACAATTTGCTACGAGCATCGTATTGCACAATTAACTAATTGTAAATAATTGTTAAACTTTGTAATTACTGATAAAAAAATTTCTCAATAATTTAAATATCAATTATGATTAAAGTATGAGAAGAAACACAAGTTATGTAAGTAATACACTGCAAGCTTTATGCAAATATTATTAAATATTAAGAGTATTTTCTGTACGTTATGTTATGTTATCTTATATATAAATGAAAAAAGAAAAGTATTTTAATAATATTAATTAATTAAGATGTAAGGTAGACAAAATTTAAATTTTTAAATAATTGATATATACTGTAGTTTTTTTTATATAATAATACATTTGCTATAAAAAAAAGTCTCATATTTGTTAATTTATTAATTTAAAACGTATTCGAACCAATATAAAATTACTTTAGTTTTGTATCAAAATCAAATCCAACACAAAGAACTTTGGTTTGAATATATATGCAACATGATTCACAATATTGGACAATTGGTGCTTCTTTATAATTGTATACATATGCAACCACATAATCAAGAAAATTTGTAGAATGCATACAATTCTTTTACATTATATCCAATATCCAAGCCTTGAAGAAAATAAAAATGTAGAATTTGATAGTTTTGAGTCTGCAGTAAGTTAGGAAACAATAGTAGGAATGTACAAATTTTATGTTTTTTTATTTAAAATTATACCGTTAATTAAATCTGAATAATTTATATATTGTATTTAACATAATTAACTTCAATCATTTTTAATATGAATTCTTTATTTTTTTCATCTAATCATTTTTTTTTATTAAGGAAACCACAATTTGCAAAATGCATTTTTTTTTAAATAATTTTGAATTTTATATTCACTCTTATTTCATTAAGTTAACTGTTTTCTGTATATTTAAACAATTAAATAAATTTGAACGTTGTTTATGTAACTGCAGTTGACAACTGTAATATTCATTTGGAAATTCTCCATTAATGGCAACTATTATTTTACTGTTAGAAACATTGCTTTTAATTAATATGTTATGGATGGAATAAAACATTCGTATCAATGGTTTTTATATAATTATGTAAGTTGTAACAACCTTTAAACTTCTGTAAATAAACCATATTTAGAAGCATTTTTTTAACAAATCTTAAAGGAGATTATTTACAAAGGTTGCACTTTTTCAGTTTTAATCTGTTGTCAAAAACAATGAAAGATGTGTTTTCTTCTAAAAGTTAATTAAATAATATTAATGTATTCTATTTTCAGAAAATTTCTAGAATTTCGAATGATCAATATCAAAGGATCAAACGAGCTACGGTGCGAAAACCAGGATTCTTTAGAACATTGTTTTCTGTCATTTACGAGGTAAGATATAAATTTATTTTTTCTCTAACAGTATTTGTGTAGTTTATAAGTTTAGAAGATTTTCATTAGAAAAGTAGTAAAGTGATGATTATTTCAACATTTGTCAAGTAATAAAATTAGATGACACTTGATTAATTGCCTCACGTTTTAATTAAATGACTGTCATCTATCTGCAATATAAACTACTTTATTATACTAATTATTTTTATATTAGTATATTGATTTTTTTTGGAATATTTAGCACATGATAGTTAGTAAAAAAATAATATTAAATTGGTAGTTTTAATTAATTTTTAATTAATGTATTTGTTCCTTTATAAATTAATTCTTTTTAGCAATGGAATGATACCAGAAATACAGTTGGTACAGTAAACAAGTTGGTCAACGATAATTTCCTACCAGAAAATGCTCCGGTGCGTATCGAAAAGTCCGAATTTGTGAAGTGTTAAATAATTGCTGGTTTCATTTCTTGCAGCCAGTCGAAACTACGACCAGTGCCGATCCGAATGCTACGACGAAGGCCCCGCAGTTCAGGATCTCTCGCAACGAGTTCAACAGGATATTGAGGAGAAACTTAAAGGGCATTATACGATTATACAACATTGAACTCAAAGACGCTCTCAAGGTATATATATGCACTCATGCTGTTAAACTTCCTGTTCCATTTCAGTTTTGAAAAAGTGTGGCGCTTATTGACGTAATTCTAACCAGTTTTACATACTTTGGCCTTCCATACCAGATGATCTGCGTGATATTAAAATAATTTATATAAAAAAAAATATTTCGTGAAACGGAAAGGAAATTATTCAATTTTTTTATTTTAGCGATTTTTCTAAAATTTAAATTTTTATCATAGAGTAAATATTTTCAGTATTTGTTTCTTTAGATCAGGGTTTCCCAAACTTTTCCTGCGACGCAACAGTTTGTAAATCCTGAAATTTTTACGCAACACCTTGTTTATTAAAAAACATGAGAAAAAAAGTAATTAGTTCATTCTAAGTTTTCACGGAACACATAGTTTGGGAATCTCTGCCTTAGAGAAATCGATGGACAATTTATATTTTAAAATATTATTTCGCAGTTCTGTAACTTATAGTGAATCATGTGCATTTAATTAGCATAAATAAAATCATATATTTGAGGACAAAAAGACCTACAGCCTATAGTACTTAAAGTTATTAATAAATAGTATTAATGTATCACTTTTTACTTTGTTAATAATACATTTTCTCGAGTGATTACTATAATATTTTAGCATACAGTTAGATAATAATTTAGATGAAAATCGTACAGAGATTTTCTCATTGTTGTTAGATATATTTTTTAAATTGTCGTGTAAATTGTAATTTATGGTTATTAGGTACTAAATATTTATACATAGGAATGAAAAGCGTGCATAAACAACTGACATTAAATCATTAACAATTATCTTGAATGACAGACAATAGAACGTGTATTATGAATGCAATGCAAAATTGCGTGCGTATTCAAAGAGCATAATTAATATGGAATTATGAATAGTAACGGTGAAAAGAGTAATTCAATAGAAATTTGCAAAATGTAATTAGAAGGTATGCAATCGTATGTAAATGGAACGCGCCTTGGACTCACACTCAGAAGAATTTGGAAAGATGCATTTCATCCGATAATTTGTGGCAAGGCTGTATCGCGCTCTTAGGAGTTATACCGACGTGCAAATACCTTATGGCCATGTCGATTAATACAGATTGCAATGGATATACCATAAGTGACAGGATAGCTACGTGACTGCAGTCAGGAGGATCAAACTCAATGAACGCCAATCAACATTAATTTATTTTCCATTTTCCCTATATTATTTTTTTCTTAATGGTCTTTTGTTTGCAGCAATCAGACAAGAATTACGCTGAATTCAAGAAGAACGCCTCCATCGAAGTGTCCAAATTCCTTTGAGATCGACGCCAAAATATCTAGCCAGATCTTATCACTGTGATAACATTTAACTTAGGTTCTCTCTTCTGTTCGTTATTCGTTTATTTTTCGTAAATGCGGTGTACTGAGGATGGCCGCAACGGCCCTCCTGTCGTCTATACTTTGTTGTTGATTGTCCTGAAATTTGCTCTCTAATTTATTCAATTTTAATGCCATTTTTTTAACTTGTTATTTTTACTAATATAGAAAGAACCGTGTCATCTACATGTATAGTATTTAAATTATTGTAATTATTTTAGGCACGTTTTTTTCCGCAATAAAAGTGTTTATCCCACGAACGTATTTTATACATTCATTCATGAAAACAACATGTATGCATATGTATTATAAACTTATTTAAATAATAGCTCAAATGATAGAATACAAAATATAAATGACTACAATAAATTTCGCGAAATAAAAAATAAAAATATATTGAATAAATAGCAAAGTTAAGGTAAGTATTTTTTTTATTAATTGATCTTAATTAATTGTTTGAAAAAATCTGTTAGAAATTTCTAATATTATTGTATGTTTTATTTTTGTAACCTAGGTAATTAGCAGTTTTACAAAGCTGTATTATTAAATTTTACACGTGCATTTTTATTCATTATTTTTATTTACTTAATTATTTTGTTTATTGTACGGCTTGAAGTCTAAACGTTATAGTTTATTATGTATAATCCTCAAATCTGAAATTATACAAACCTGTTATTGTATTTCTTGCTAAAAAAATATCTGAGTTATGTTTTTATCACACATCTATTTTTATTTGTTAGTAAATTTGTCAGTTGAAATTATTGACGTTTAGTTAGAAAATTCATTTCTCATAAACCTTTTTCCCAATTCCTTAAAATATTGTAGCTCTAATTAATATTTTATAATAAGAAATTGATTACCAGAAGTTTTGATGTCAGTTTCTGTGTGTATTATATTTATTTTACTTAGCACTTTAAATAAAACTTGAGAATTCTCTTATTTGTAGGTTGCATTGTTGTGTATATGATAATTGTTCAGAGAATAGAAACTCTGAGTAAATATTAATATATAGTAATTATATTAAGAAAACGTGTAATCTTTATCATTATACGAGTTCGGTTTTACAAAGCTTAGTTTCTTATTAGATTTATATTTTGCAATACTATTGATGTCTATTGATATAATTTATCCAATGCATCATATGATGTTACAACAGTAGTTTCTTATAGACTATTAATAGTTTTAATATCGTTTTTTAGGCAACCATTGATTTATATATTCGTGTTTTAGAATCCATTCTAGATTTTTTTTAAAATAATTTTATTTGTTAATTGATGAAGTCGTGAAAAGTGTAGTCAAACTTATACACATGAACCGTTTAATAAACAACTGAGTAAAATAAAAAAATGGTACATTTGGTAATGTCATGCAATTTTAAGCTTAAATCGTTTAATATAGTCATTTATAGAGATTTATGAATTATAGATATTATAAAGATTTAGATTATAAAAACGGATAAATTTTAATATATATATATATTTAGTAACAATATTAATTTATAAACTTATTTCATGATATTCTGGTATACAATTTTTCTTTTCGTTATAACATAACAAAATAACCTATACACTTCTGTATGTACAAGTTTTACTTGAATATATATAGTGTTATACTCACTTGATGTTTCCAATTGCAAAACAAATCATTTTTGTATACAATACAAAGATTACATTAAAATACCAACGACTATTTAGATATGTTTATAATTTAAATAGTGATATACATGATAGTGATATAAATGAGATATCATACTAAATTAATCACAAATTATGTGATATCTCGTATACCACTTTCACAATAAACTGTCCACTTGTATAAATATGTTGCATTATACTAAATAATATTGTTTGCTATTTTATATCACATTAAAAAACTTTTAGCACACATTTAGTTCCCAGTAAAAGAAATAGAAAAATCCAACTAGAACAAGGTATTTTAGCCAACGACTTTTGTTGCGTAAACAAATTTATCAAATTTATTTTTTTATAACTAATATAAAATGCATTTCTTTAGTTAATGAGTAAAATTGGTCCTTTCGAATAACAGAAGTTAATCTACTAAACATGGTTACAGTAAGGAAATTCTGCGACTGTGGCTAAATAAGATTGCGCCCCGTAAAATATTTTATTTGCAATGCCATACTGTTTGAAACTGGACTAATCGAGGACTTTAAAACCGAACAAAAAGAGGTAATTTAGTTAATAAACAATTTAGTTATGGTCAATAGCCATTTGTAGCAGTTGAATTTCATTTTTATTATTATAATATTGAAGCCGAACAATTCAATATTTTACTATACAATTTGATCATGTATCTCATGTTTTAATCAATTATCATTAGTTGCAATAAAATGTAAAAGTATAAAGGTTTTTCATGTTGATATGTTTTTTTTTTATTGTGTTTAAAATATTATTATTTACAGTATTATATATTAGAGTTTAGACATGTCGTTTAAATAATTATAATTCGAGTTGATTAGCATTAATATATCAAAGTTGTTACTTTTAATCCTGATTTTCAAAATACCCAAATAAGGAACTAAAGAAGGTTATTCAATAATTGAAGTAACAGCTAAAGTGCAAAATATAGCGCGAAGGTTATACTTCTACTTTAAGTGAGTTATAAAGGATAATTTCTCGAAAATAATGTATGCAAAGATCGATACATATGTAGTCTACGTCGTATTAAATCCAGAGGCATCCGTATAAAATTTGAAATAATTTATTGAATTATGTATTGGTAAGCAGAAATGATTGGATTTATTACATAATATAAGATCACTGTCAAGAACGTACGTATTTTATAATGTTATTGTTCATTTATGAAGCAAACTGCAGCAATTACCATCAATCAATTTAAATATCTATTTCGATTTCAAGGTGAAAAAAAAAGAAAATATAAAAAGAATAATAGTAAATATGTGTTTTTAGAGCCAAAATAAATTACAAGATTTATTTGCTTCTTTTTAAAAGTATTCTGTTACATAGTTAAAAAATAGTAGAAAAACTTTGTTTTATTTCTTAGTTATTAAATTTAATGTAGAATACATGTAATAATACATTTTAAAGTTGATCTAGTTTCAGTATTTGAGTCAATTTATAGTCAAGTAGATTTATGGCACAAACATGTTGTTGTGTCCAACCATTATTATTGTAATTGTTATTATTAATATAGTGTAATAACGAACTAGAGATATCCACGGCGTCTCATAGTCGCATTATTATATACACATATACGTCAGCATAAAGTAATCTCTATCATGATCTCAGTTCGATACACTTTACTATAAACAAAGGGGGCCACGTAAACATTCCCATCGATACTCCTATACCTTTATACAGATTTCAAGTCCTTATTATAAACACATAATGATCATTACACGTACAATCGTAATCGATCATTTTTTCATATAAACAAATGCAAAGTATAATAAACAAAACCACCGAGGCCGAATCCCGTGGGAACGCTTAATCATTCATTTATACAAACCCTACGCCCGATCACAACTCCCACTCTGAAAACTTTGTAAGTAGAAGAAGTATTAGAAGTCATAAGATGAACATAGTCTTGTCGTGTCCCAGGGATGGAATTCTGGACACAGTGGAATATTGTCTGGTGTTGTCGTTGTGGAGTCTCAGTAGTTGGGAATTAAATAATTCAATTGGTTTAAAACAAGTTTATTATAATTGGTACTCTTGGGGTCCCTTTCCAAGACAATGTAGTTTAATCGACAGGTTGACTAAGACTATCAATCTGAAGGTTTTACTGAGACTATGCTCATCATTTAAACGTTTTACTGAGACTATGTCAGTCTTTGAGGGTTTTACTGAGACTATGCTCATCACATAAACGTTTTACTAAGACTAATTCTAAAATACTTATATTACTTACAAAGTTAATTCTTATTGATACGGGGTGGGGGTTGTGATCGGGAGTAGGGTTTGTT